AAAATGGTCCCTCAAAGGTACTTTTTAGGTACATCTGGACACTTTTATGCACCTTTGAGGTACCACAGTGGACTTTTTGGGTACAAATATCTTTAGAAAAGGTACTGCCCCACTGACAGCTCATGTACCTTTATTTCTGAGAGTATATAATAAAGAAAATCTGCTCTAAATGTAAAACTAAATAAATTGCTAAATATTCTTGACACATGAAAGTGTAAAGCCTGCAGCCCACATCAGAGGTGGAAAGTTATTGCGTGTCATTTAACAAACAGTTTATTACAAAATGTATATAATTTTGCCCACCAGGATAATTGAATATTAATCAGATGATGTCATTACGCTGCTGTGCCCTCAGCCAATTCTTGCATTGCTAATCATGATTTCAAGGATTTATAGATCGGTCCTTCACACCAAGTGCAGCGATCTCAGTTCAGTTCATCCAGGTATTTTTTTCTGTTTCACAAACTTGTTTAAAGAACCAAATTGGCCACAGATCAGTTATCAAGATTAAAAGATCCAGGATCTGTCAAATCATTTTGGGAGTTAGCCCTAATGTGGTGAAGTATGTATATTTTAATATATGCAATTTGCGGCATTTGTAAAGTGCTTGAAAAGTCCTTATATTTGTTTTTGGAAAAGTTCTAAAAACCCTGAATAAAACAAATTAACATTGCAAATGGCATGCAAAGTCAAACATTTGACCTATGAACTCAGTCAAGCCCAACCAACCTCAAGTATCATGACACTTCCAATGAGAAAAACATATATACTCTACTTTTAGGGGGAATCCCTGCTGCCAGTCTTCAGTGTGTTCCGCTTGGGAAGAGTTAGGTTTAACTGGACAAACCCCTCGACTAAGTCTACATCATACAGTATGTGTACTCCAGGCACTTATTTGTCCCACAGTTCAGTACGATTGTGAGGTCATGACAGCAGCTTCCATCCACAGTGCATAGTAGTTCCCAAGTGCCCAAAGACTTACGGTCGTCCATTTAAACCCAAGTTCTGCCAGTAGTGGACACTTGTGTAACATAGTCAACTTTGCAAGAAGTTAATGAGAAAGGGGTCTGGATGCAGACCTGGTGCAGTGCAATCTGAGCTGCATCCAATGCTTTTTAGGCTCATTCCCAATTCCACCCCTTAGCCCTTCTCCTTACCCCTACCCCTCGTTTTGCGCCTTCACGCCAATGGGAAAGCGGTGTCCCAATTCACTTTAGCTTAAAGGCAAAGGGCCAAGGGGAAGGGGTGAATAGCCCTTCGAACAAAGATTTTTCAGGGCCACACTCTAAATCAAGGGGTAAGAAAATTTCCCAGAATACACCTGCCACAATGGCAGTATTGCTGAACCCGGAATTGAGGAGATCCACAAAGATTTTTTTTTTTTGTCATTGTTACAGATTTTTATGACAAACAAACACGTTTTAATATATTCATAACCGTGTTCATGTTTTACTGTCATGCTTTAAAAAAAATAATAATAATTCGCAATCTATAATCCATAATCATAACTCCTGTATAGCAGTCCCACAACATTCTGACACATGATGATGCTTGAATACCCTGTCAGAAAAGTCTAGTGGCTGAGAATGAGCTTTTTACGGTGTCTGCTATATTGTTAATGTTGTTTTTTTGTTTACATAGATGAATATGGCCACTGTGTAAATACACAGCACAGTTACCCTCTTATTATGACATTAGATCGTTATGATAACATAATATTTGCCTTCAGTGATTTTTTTTTGAAGATAAATACCAAAAAATAGCACGACTGTAATAGCTACAGCAGTCGCGATCGTCTGATCTCATATGAAGCATGAGATCGCGATGACATATGATGACGTGTGCAGGTGTTGTATAGTGCTGTGTCCCAATTCTTAGGGGTAAATTTTGAAGCCCTTCCCCTTCACCCTCGGTTTTAAGGGCTAAGGGGAAGGGGTCAAAAAAGGAAATTGGGATTGGGGCTCACCTAACCCCACTCCTAACCCTACCCCTTACAATGACATCATTTGCTCCATTTGAGAGAATTGTGTCTGATATTGCATCGCTGAGTGATGCTATCTCAGCTTGCATCATAAAGGCTGCATCCAGATACTATTGGTTAATGAGGGAATGGCATAAAACATTTGTACTGGAACACAGCCAAAATGTCAAATGTAAAAACAGCTTTACAATTAGACATGGGCTGTGTTTCACTCCGCTTTTAGACAGACCCTCTTAAACTTCCCCAAGCACTTCTTCTCAAGAGAATCCCCGATGCCCTTTTGAAGTGTGTTCCACTTCATCAAGTCAGTGAGGAAAGTTTTTACTTCAAAACAGATGCTCAAGCCCCTGATTTCTGGAGGGAGACTGCCCCTCCAGTCCAAATTTACATGGCCTTTCCTTGATAACTCGCTTCCATCTCATTGGCATGGGTTTTAATGGGCTGAAATAGGTTTAAATGAAATGCCTTAAACCTTTAAGCATTTGGAAACTATATGCACTGCAAATGCAAGCTGCTGCAGCCATATTGTATTGTAAAACTGTATATGGTGCCAGGATTGTTCATACAAAGACTTGCTCCCTTGGTCAAAATAAAGGCTTTGATGGTCTGTTGACTTAAACGTCCCTAATCTACTTGACAAAGTGAAACACACTTCAAAACATTACCCTGGACCATATATAATTCTCAAAAGTGAGCCATTTAATCCTGTCTCGGTGTTATAATATTGGTAACAATTTACAGAAAAGTTGCATTAGTTAATGTTATTTGTTTATGTTTATGTTTATATTATGTTATTTTACTGACATGAAACAATAATCAATACATTAATTACAGTATTTATTCATCATTTTCTTATGTTAACATTAATGAATAAAAAAAAAAAACGTAATTAATTTTTAGTCCTTGTTAACTCACAGTGCATTGAATAATATTATTACAAGGCTCTCTGGAATACTGGATTCTGATTGGTCATTCACGATACTTCAATGTTATACTCTGATACCGACCAAGCAGGTACTTTGAATTAGGGCTGCACAATATATCGTTTCAGCATCCATATTGCAATGTGCACATTCACAATATTGACATCGGAAGATTTGGAATGTTGAGTTTGAATTATAGTTGACCAGGAGCCACAGAATTGTATTTATTAACTGTATTTATCAGTAATTTTTTATGATTTATGAAAAGAAAATGAGGTTTTTGTCTTGTTTCTAGCCCAAATATCTACATTTCAAAGTAAAAACACGTTTTTTTTGTTTGTTTTGTTTTTGTTTTTACTTGCCTCATTGGCAAGTTTACATGTTTTAGGGAAAAAATATATAATTTTTGACTTTTTTTTTCTTCTGAAGGTAAAAACAATACAATATGTTCACTTTATCTAAATTATTATTATATTTGGACTAGAAACAAACAAAAAAAAAGGAAGAAAAGCATTTTTAGCATCTCGATTGTTTAATTTCTGTACCTGAATACTGTTAAACTCCTCAGAAATCTGTCAAATATTCAAACTATCTCGTGAAACCATTCATATCGCAATATGTATCGCAGAAAAATAAAATATCACAATATATTTTTTTTTCCAATATCGTACAGCCCTACTTTGAATCACCTTGACTATTAGTGAATATATTTGTATATACTACATATCCATATCTTGGATACCATGGATTTTTGGTGTTATTGGCTATTTGGTGAGGCCTTCATTACTGTAATGTTATTGTGTTATAAGATAATCCCTTACGTAACAAGCACAGCTTTTATTGAAATTTGAATACTGCATAAATGTTGAAATTAACATCAACTTTGACTATTAATAATTGCTATTGTTCATTCATAGTAAATGCCCTCCCTAGTAATAACTATAGAACCTTATTATAAAGTGTGACCATTATATCTCGACCCTCCCATTCCTTCCTGCACACATCATTTACCAACTTTCCTGTGGATCCTGCAGAAGTGAGGGGCGTGTTTGTTTGGGGCGATGACTTCAAAGTAAAGTGTTTTCCAGACATTGTTAATAAGTCTTTAATTGTGGGGTAGAGAAGACGTAAGAGTTAAGATCTATTTTGTGTGCTTGAAAAAGAAAATTCCCTGTGGCATTGTCCCTATAATTGTTGTCCAGCAAGTTATTGTAAATAAGTGGTTATTTGGTTAAGAGCAAACTGGTTTAAATTTAAGTGAAGCAGTGTGTTATTCGACTATAGAACAGTAACTGCCATATATAAAATAACATATATATATATATATATATATATATATATATATATATATATATATATATATATATATCACTGCAACCGTGATGTGTGTAGCAGTACACACAAAAACCACAAGGGGGAAACAGTATAAAACCAAACCACAGACGATTTTCAGTTGTCATTATGCTGAAATCATTTGAAAACATATTAACCCTTTATTGGGTGAGGATCAACTATATATGTTAACTTTATTGACACAGATAACAATATCATAATTTTTATTGAAGTAATGAAAGTCTTGTAATAACCCAGAGTAACTCTCCAGGGTTTTTCTGATGAGAGTGCCATAAAAAGAGTTAAAATGTTTGTAGTTGAATAATTAAAGCACAGTTGGAATGTATTTTCTGATTTAAAAATAGTTTTCAAAGTCTCATTTTATACAAACAACATATATATATATATATATATATATATATATATATATATATATATATATATATATATATATATATATATATATTCTGTTAGTTTATCTGTTTTACAACAATTATTAATTACACATTGCAGTAAGACACTTTATCAAAAAGCTGTGGTCCATGTCCTCACATATTCAAATATTTTCTGTTCTCCGCTTAAAATAACAGCTAAACTGTATCAAAAAATCAGAGTAAACTTTAAAAATTCACTTGTAAATTCAAGAAACATACAAATTGTGCAAGTTTGATGTTGTACAATGTCTTTGCTACAATATGTGGATTAAAAGTGTTGATGTTGCACCGCTTTACAGAAGATGGGCTTGAGATGAAGGATCTTCAGCATTAGTAATCATTCCTAAACTCGGGATCCACATACCGCTGGACTGGACTCTCCTCGGTTTCCTCTAGAAGGTGAAAAAAAAGAGGTTTTATGAAACTATTATTAACATTATTATGTAAAACATTTATTAGCATATTATTACGGTATATTATTTACTATTAGAAATTGTAACAAAGATGCTGGTAAATGTTCTAATTGTGCGTGAGCTAATTATTAAAACAATATACTCCTATGTTTATTTGAGAATTCATTCATTTTCCATCAGCTCAGTCCCTTTATTCCCTAGGGGTCGCCACAGCGGAATGAACCCTTAACTTATCCAGCATATGTTTTACACAGCGGATGCCCTTCCTGCAACTAGGAAACACCCATACACACGCATCCACACACAAACATACACTACTGCCAATTTAGTTTATTCAATTCACCTATAGCGCATGTATTTGTGCTGTGGGGGAAACCAGAGCACCCGGAGTAAACCTACACGATCATGGGGAGAACATGCAAACTCCTCAAAGAAATATCAACTGACCCAGTCAGGACTCGAACCAGTGACTTTCTTGCTGTAAGGCAACAGTGCTAATCACTGAGCCACCGTTTCACCCCCAAGAAATAATTTTTAACTACTGTATATTTTGTTAACTTCAACTTTAAATTTGAGAACTCTCTCATCCTCCCAGCAATGGTCCCGAGAAGTCCAGAAAAGTATCCAGTCAGTTGTTTGGATTGTTTTATTATTATTATTTTTATTGTGGTGTTGGATCTGCTCTGTGTTCGCTACATCACACCACTCTTTTGCGTCAGGTCAGGGTGACGTATTGCCTTTGAAATGTTTATCTACCAAATTGTTTGTCCCGAGTTTGCTTTTTTGTTGTTGTTTTTTTTGTCAGTGAGCATTAGAATATGGATTGTATTGCAATAACAATATGTGTTGTATTCCCCATAGTAAGTATAGAGAATGACTGATGTGAGTTTTATGAATGGAACTTTAAATACAATACCGATGAGATTAAGTAAATTGTTAATGTGTGATTTAGTTTAAAACAGCAACCACATTTTGTGTTCCATGTACCCTCTAAATGTATTTAAAACCCACCAAAAAAGCCAAATTTTAGGTTATACTACAATCATTATTATTTTACATTTTTTGTAATCTTTGTGTGTTTTAAATTTCACTTTATGTCCTTGCCATCAAAATGATAAACATTTAACGGTTACTCAATTATTGCCTTTGATTTTTGAAATTTATTTTTTTTTGACAAACAAAAGTGTTTTTGGAGTTTTACACGATTACTTATAAACCCCTGAAGTTCATGAAACGTTTTGACAATGCTTATTGGTTGCTTTTCTGAACTTTGAGTCCGTATCACTGCTGTCTGTGGAGGACGAGAGAGCTCTCAGAAATCATTTAAAAAAATCAAAGATGAACGAAGGTCTCAGGGAGTTAAAACGACATAAAAGTAAGTAAATAATTAGATCTTTTATTTGTGGGTAAATTTATCTTTGAATACTGTAAGTGACTTAAAGAATCATTCATTCGATTAATTGTTTCAAGCTCACACACAAAGTTGCTTTTGCTACTTGTTTAAATGAGCTCAATCAACACAATTCTTAAAGGTTTTTTGGGACAACTTATTTGTTTTATGTTCAATTATTTCAATTTGTAAAAACAAAGTTGACGTAATCTATTTGTGTTGGAGCAACATAAAGCAATTGTGTGGAACCCTGCATTTTTACAGTGCTGGCTAATCCAAAACAGCAAGTGCTTGAGCACCACTTGGGGTTTATCTATATGCCTGCTTGTTGATAAAGTCAAACAAGGTGTTGTGACTGTCTGAGATTTAGAATGTAATTAAAACCTGTCTCACCGTCCTGGATGTTAAGAGCAAGAAGACGACTTTCAACATCATCTATTCTCTCAACGCTGGTAATGGAAATCCCAGTGTAACCACCCCGCTCCAAGCAGAAGTCAATAAACCTATTAATAAACAAGAGATACACGTAATTTAGGGAGTACCCCGACAGGATTTTAAAAAGGAATATTTTTCTTTGAATGTCCAGCATACCGGCCCCAGCTTTCATCTGTCCGCAGAATCATGGGGTTTCCCACCATGATTAACAACGATTTTGCCCTTGTCACCGCCACATTGAATCTCTAAAGAAAATACATTGAGATCAAATTCATTATAGAGCCTAGACTAATTCAAGACTAATATAAAGTTAAAGGCAAAATTATTAGCCACTTGGAAATTTAATTATTTTAAAAATACTTTGTAAGTGATGGTTAATCAAGGAAAATATCCCAGATTTTCTGTCAAATAATTCAGGACAAAGTTGTTTCTTTTAGTTTCAACACATATTTAAAATGTGTTTAAAACTAAATCTCTTTGTTAAACAGCACCTTATTTAAAAAATTTATATTTCACAGAAAGACTAATAAATTTGCCTTCTTTTGTAAGTATTACATTAGTCTTTAATACCACATGATCCTTCAGAAATCATTCCAAACACCTCCACTTTATACCTTTTCATTTTTGAGAAACCCAATGTTGAATGTTTCATCCAAACTGATGTATTTTACACTGCTGCGAACAGTCGACACCATGATCACTTTCCTCTCTTGGCCCTGAAACTCCTCCACAGAACCGACCTACACAACACACAAAGGAAGTTGGCTATCATATTACACTTCTAATTTAAAGCAATGGTTCACCCAAAACTGAACATTCTGTCATCATTTACTCATCCCTTACTTATTCCAAACTTGTTTGACTTTCTTCTATTGAACAGAAGAAAGACATTTTGAAGGAAGCTGCAAACTTGTAACTATTGATTCTATAGTATTTGTTTTACCTACTATTAACAAAGTTGGAGTTTTGATCGCATTGTCGGCAATAAGTAAGACTTGTTTCCAGTGCATGTTGGCCTCCAGCAGGTGTGCCCTTTGTCACCAATTCTGTTTGTTATTTTATAGATAAAATTTTAGAGCACAGCCTTGGGCTGGAGGGGGCCCTGTTCAGCGACCACAGGATTTCATCTCTGTTATTCGCAGATGATGTTGTTCTGTTGGCTTCATCAAACATGGACCTTCAGTGTGCACTGGTTTGCTGCCGAGTGGCATGCGGCTGGGATGAGAATCAGCACCTCTAAGTCCGAGGCCATGGTGCTCCACCGGAAAAAGGTGATTTTCCATCTCCAGATTGGAGGAAAGTCCTTACCCCAGGTGGAGTTCAAGTATCTTGGGGATTTGTTCACGAGTGAGGGAAGGATAAAAACGTGAAATGGAAAGGCAGATAATGCGGTTGATTTATCTGTCCTTTATGGTAAAGGAGCTGAGCCAAAAGGCTAAGCTCTTGATTTACCGGTCAATCTACGTTCCTAATGTCACCTATGGTCATGAGCTCTGGGTCGACCGAAAGGACAGGAACTCTGATACAAGTGACCAAGATGAGCTTCATTCACAGGGTGGCAGGGTGCACCCCTACAGATGGAGTGAGGAGCTTCGTCACTTGGGAGAAGCTCAGAGTAGAGCCCCTGCTCCTTCACATTGAGAGAGGTCAGCAGAGGTGGCTTGGGCATCTGTTTCAGATGTCTCCGGAATGCCTACCTAGGGAGGTGTTCTAGGCATGTCCCACTGGAAGGAGGCCTCGGGGAAGACCCAGGGCATGCTGGAGAGATTATGTTTTTCAGCTGGACTGGAAACAACTCAGGATCCCAGCAGAGAAGCTGGAGGAAGTGTCTTGGGAGAGGCAAGTCTGGGGTTCTCTTCTAAGACTACTGCCCCCGCGACCCGGCCCCGGAAAAGCAGACAAAACTGAGATAAGATAAGACTATGAAAGTTTAATGTATTCAGGTTTTCAGCTTTCTTCACAATATCTTCCATTGTGTTTAACAGAAGAAGAAAAAAAGACATAAAGGTTTGGAATGACTTGAGGGAATGGACATACTGAGTACACTATCATTTTGGGGTGAACTATCCCTAGTTTTTACAAGTATTCTCAAACCTACTTTCAGGTTGTCAATGCCCATGTAATCTTGGAAGTCCTTGTCTGCATCGATGGCTCGTTTGATCTTCTCCACCTTTAAAATCCAACCCCAGAAATTAGAAGACTATTTCACAGTTCTACTGTAGCTGCTATTTTCTTGACTATAACACCTGACAGTCTTGTCGCCTATCCAAGTTTTAGAAACAACAAATAATAACTTGATTTGTAGTTGATCATTTGGTATCAGAAGTGGCTTATATGAAGGGCAAAGCCTTCTAGATTATGCTTATTTTACAAAATTAAATATGATTATGCTCTGATTTTTATTTATTTAATTAGGACAGTAAGGTCTGACTTTGCTTAGACAAAAGCCTTGTCACTTAAATAAAATAATGTAAAGTATAGAATGTAAAGTCATGGTGCAGTGGAAAAATAATTGTTATTGTGAATGAGGTTCATGGGCTTGGACGACTGCATCCATACATCTTTGCAATGACTCAAATAGCTTATTAATACAGTCATCTAAAAATGGCAAATAAAGAGTTCTAGCAGGACTCCCAGAGTTCATCAAGATTATTTAAATTAATCTTCAATGCCTCATCCTTCATCTTACGCCAGACATGCTCAAATGTCTGGTGACTGGGCTGGCTAATCTTGGAGCACCTTGACCTTATTTGCTTTCAGGAACTTTGATATGAAAGCTGTTGCATGAGAAGTTGCGCTATCCTGCTGAAGAATTTGCCTCTCCTGTGGTTTGTAATGTAATGGGAAGCACAAATATCCTGATACATCAGGCTGCTGATGTTTCCATGTATCCCTAAACTATAATTTGTCCTTCACCGAACTTGACTGATTTCTGTGAGAATCTTGGGTCCATGTGGGTTCCAATAGGTCTTCTGCAGTATTTGTGATGATTGGGATGCAGTTCAACAGATGATTCATTAGAAAAATCTACCTTCTGCCACTTTTCTTACTAGAAGTTATTATTTTGTGCTCTTACAACTGGGATCGATGACAGGACTTTTGTCAGGTAGTGTAGGACAGTGTTTCTCAACCATGTTCCTGAAGGACCATCAACACTGCATGTTTTGGTCGTCTCTTTTGTCTGTCACACCCATTACAGGTCTTTCACTCTGCTAATAAGCTGATGATCTCAATCAGGTGTGTTTGGTTAGGAAGAAATGGAAAATGTGCAGAGCTAGTGGTGCTCCAAGAACGTGGTTGAGAAACACTGGTGTAGAATGTCTGTTCAAGACTATTTTCCACCTGTTTCCGGTAGGGGGCGATGATGCCAATGTCTTTGGGGAAGATTCTTGAGATTCCCTTCTTGGGCTGTGTCAGAAGCAGCTTCTTCAAGTAGTCAACAAGGATGTTGATTTCATAGATGTTAAAGAAAGAAGGACTGTTTGACTCTCGCTCATCCTTTCCAGGAACTCCATGGAAAATCACAGGGAATCCCTGGAAAAAAGTACTGTAAATATTTGTGTAATAATCTCGCAATTGCAACCCAAGTATGTTTGAGCAAAACCAGGTACTATAATTAAAAGAGACTAATCTGCTGTTCAAAATGTCGCATACCTTTGAAGGCAAGTGCTCCCACATGCAGTATTGATTAGAGCTGATCTCATCGGCACATGCTTTCAGTTCCCCATCATAGAACAACCTATTAGGAACCTCCAAAATGTATGGGTGAGACCTGGAGTGAGAGATGTCTATAATTGATTCTAGATTTGAATGTTTCCAAGAGCCCCGAACAGTGAGTAATGTGACTGAAATTATGACTAAAATTGAAGAGATTTTGATGACTGATTCAAGGGCTGCACAATATATAATTTTAGCACCGATATCGCAATGTGTGAAAAAGCAATAGTCGCATCGCAGGATGTGCAATGTGGAGTCAGGATTATAGTATTAACATTTTAGAACACATGAGAATTTTGAAGTCATTTCAGTTTAATCATAATAAAGTGAGTGTATTAACCCTTTAACTACCCCACCAAAAAAAAAATTTCACCTAACACCTAATGTCGCTAGTAACACACTCGATGCTTTTTTTTCCAACACATCCCATAATTTCTGAAATATAAGCCTGTACCAAATGGTTGATATCTCAGTTTACAGTAAAAGTACATGACTTAATACATGTACTATAATAAATCTGAAAATATAAATTGTAAGACCAAGGTATATAAATAAATATACAGAAAAAAACATTTTTGTATACTAGATCATCTTTATTTTTGTATTAAGTATGCCATAAAATATTTTAGATTCTCATTTAACATGATTTCTTTCTTTTTTATTATTTACATTTTTTTTCACAATAAAACCCAAATCATTTTTGGAAACCAACAACGCTTTGTGTGTGTGTGTGTATATGTGTGTGTGTGTGTGTGTGTGTGTGTGTGTGTGTGTGTGTGTGTGTGTGTGTGTGTGTGTGTGTGTGTGTGTGTGTGTGTGTGTGTGTGTGTGTGTGTGTGTGTGTGTGTGTGTGTGTGTGTGTGTGCGTGTGTTTGTGTGTGTGTGTGTGTGTGTGTAAGCCATTATTTAAAACAGTCATTCTTTAAATGACTATAACATGCATTATTTATAACAGTAAAAACGTGGTCAACCATTTGTTAGAGTGGGCAGTCAAAGGGTTAATTGCTTGTGTTTTTAAGGCCTGTTTAATTATTTTAAGTAAGTTTAAAGCATTTGGGCACAAGGAAAAATTAGTTTGTAGCTTTAACAAAGATTAATTGTGTTTCATTATTATACATATTAAAGAATATATAGCTTTATTGTACATTTGATTGTTTTATTTCTGTATCATTTGTATATTTGCTCTATCTCTGCTCCTAATTTGTTAATTATATTTTATGCACTCCCCTACAAAATCATCTAAATCATCCTGATCAATCTAAAATTATTAATAATTCCTAAGCTATTTTGAGAAAAATCGTAATATAAATTGCAGAAAATGTAAATATCACAATGAACTTTTTTTTTCAATATTGTGCAGCCCTAACTGATTCTGTAAATATATACACAGAAAACACCAATTTAGATTTAAGGGTTGAAGGTAATCATCAAAAATGAGTAGTTCTTCAATATGTTAATCCTTTAATAAGCACCATAACTTACTGGCTTTGTCTATAGGTTATCATAAAAAAAAACTAAAAAAAAAACTATAATATTTAACACTTAAAAACAGACTGGCACATCCTACCTGTAATTCATAATAAGTTTGCTGACGTAGCGGTTGTCGAATTCCACGTCACCTCTCTTATAAAGATCATTCTGTGTCATCAGCCTCTCTAACAAAGAGACATCTACAAAAACACATGCAACTATAGATGACAATACATAAAAATAAAACATACTCATACACAATAGAGTACTTATGCACTTTTGTAACTACCGAGCCATTGTGCAACTATTCATTACAACAGTCAACAGTCATGATTCACTTATTGTAAAACATTAAATGTTAAAATAGTAATTCTTTGGGCTCATAAAATATGAATCATTTTTAACACTGGCTAGTTTGTGTCAGTATATGTGCATCATACCAAGTCCATGATTAATGGCAAGTGGGGATCTCAGGATTGGCCCCAGCTGTTTAGGATCCCCAGCCAAAACAAGCTGTCCCTTCTCTGCATTCAACAATCCTACACGCATGCAAGCACACACACAATAACACAACAGCTTGATATGGAAGACAGATCCCACTACTGTCATCCTTTAATTCATTTATTACAGTAAATATTGGAGGTTAAGAAAGTGGTTGCCCACCTGCCACACTGATGATGGTCTCTGACTCCACAGCATGTCCAGCTTCATCCACAAAGTTGTGAGTAAAATGATCCTCAGAAAATCCCCCAGTGACCAGCCTATCAACATAATATGGTTATTTCTTGTGGTCGCCATTTAAAAAAAAAAAAAAAAAACGAAAGCGAGGCTGCGGTGGGAAGAAACCCGGAAGTATAGGATCAGCATTGTAAACATTGCAACAACATGCTGTGTACTACAAACCTCCAGCTGTTGCTGTGATTTCTAAGTGCAGATATGAGGTAAACATCCCTTTAATATCATAGAGTTAAGTTTACTTAAAAAAATTAAAAGCATATTAGGCATCAAACAAAGAAGCCTAGGCTTCAGTTCATGGCACCAAGTAAACACAGTGGGGATGCTTCCCTGCTTCAGCCTATGTAAACTGGTGAGCAATAAAACAATGCAGTCTTATATAGCACGCCCTCAAGTTGTCTGTAATAGTGTTGTCCCATACTGAAAACTAAGGAAGTTTTAAAAACGTCCTTTCCCACTAACATTTATAGTAAGTGCCAGTTGAGCGCGTTCTTAAATACTGCTGATTAGCCAGAGTATTCACCAGTGCTCAACAGAAATTACCGAGATTGGCCATAAAGAAAACATAGGTGACATTAGGAACTTTTTTTTTTCCCTATTTCAGTACTGAAATTGAGTTTAGTGACAAATCTAATCTAAAACGTGTCAGGAATCGGCATCTGAAACGTGTTTGGGAAAGAAAATGTTAGCTAACTAGTGCCATTTCCCTTTAACTCAACTGAAAATGAGGTCTGATTTCCCTTTTTATTTTTACTATCTATTCAAAATGGACCTTCGGGTCACTTGGAAGGCAGTGAAATTATAAATTTGTGTCAATTTTATAATTTTGTGTCTGACAAGATATACAGCCAGGTACACAACATTCCTGCTTGACTCCAGGTGACCGTAGCTTAGATTTCACTTTTAGAATGGCGGCCGCATTAAATCATTATATTACAATATATGCTGACCGCTGTAAATTGTGTTCAACGTCTGTGAGAGAGTTAATTGAGTTTGTATAAGATGACTTCCTTTACCTGCCTGCAGTGACCAGAGTGCAGATGAGGATCTTGTAGGACATTAGATCCTCTTTACATGGGAAATCAATCATCTCTTCATCCACATTGCAGTTGTCCTGAACACAAACATTAAAAGGGTAAAAACTATAAGACATTTGGTCACATTTCATTGAATTCCCCTTGCGTTAACTGGCATTAAAATCCCATAGACGTTAGCAAACATTGAGTGTGAGTGATGGGTTTGGGGCAGATAAGAAGGCATTGAGGTGGAGAAGTGGAGAATGCCACATTAATGCTGGAGGTGGGAGGACCAGATGCTCTGGTTTTGCACTTGTAGCAGAACCAGGGTGGTGCCTGACCAAAGTTAAAACTGATAATGATTCACTCAGAAGACTAGGGACCAAAGAGCTACTGTGGAGCCTATGTGTTTACAGATAGAGGTTACAGACGATCTAAATAGCTAGGGAGTTTAAAGCCATGTTGAGGGAAAAAATAAGGTTCTGGAAAGGCCAGTAACAATGATGGGGTCTAGATGACTTTCATGGTGGGAACAGCTTGAGATTTAAGAACTGGACAGAACCAGCTGAGTTAAGTAGCTTACGGTTTGGTGAAATGAGTGAAGAAGAAGGTATAACAGAGGGGGAGGAGGGATTCAGGTTGAGACCAGAACATTAAACCAGATGGAAGTGGATAAGTAGGTTTTATGGTCGGAAATAAGAGTGGGGCTTGATCCAACTTCCAGCCTATGTAAGGCCGGGTACACATCAAAGATTTTTTTAATTTGTTAAAATTTTCTAAATGGTAAAGACTACAAACTTGATGACAAATATATTTTGCTTAAAATAGTTTGTGGTTGGCGACGCGGTGGCGCAGTAGGTAGTGCTGTTACCTCACAGAAAGAAAGTCGCTGGCGTTTCTGTTTGGAGTTTGCATGTTCTCCCTGTGTTCGCATGGGTTTCCACTGGGTGCTCCTGTTCCCCCCACAAGTATAAAGACATGCAGTATAGGTGAAAAGGGTATGTGAATGAGTGTGTTTCCCAGAGATGGGTTGCAGCTGGAAGGGCATTTGCTGCCTAAAACATATACTGGGTAAGTTGGCGGTTCATTCCGCAGTGGTAAAACCAGATTAATAAAGGGACTAAGCCAAAAAGAAAATGAATGAATGGCTTGTGGCGTGCCGCAATGTGACAAAGACAGCACACCACATACCAACAGACTTTCAATAGAGACCCTCAAGACTTGAGAATAAACATGGTGGACGAATAAACAGTTGTGCTATTGGCACAAATCAACAAACTGATCCACTGTCTGCTGTCCAAATCTATTCAGTTTGTGCTGCGCCATGGTTGTGTTCGTCATCTGCCAGCTTGTTTTCTGATTGGATATTGTTTTGTTTCATGTGTTAATGACTCTGGCTCAAATGCGCATTTGTCCTCAGGCTTCCTCTGAAACATTAGGATATCTGATTGTAAATATTCAACAAGTTGAACATATAAGTTTCACGATCAGAGTCCTTCCGGCGCTCTTCCGAGCAGATTAAGTCACTCTAAACACACCTCCTTAGAACCACTATGATAATCAGAAAATCGCCTAATGTTGTTTGAAGGGGAGAAATCGGCTCAAAATCAGCCTGTCATCTTACAGTGTGTGCCCAGTCTAAAGCTCCTAACTTAACTTTGTATAGAAGGACACTGCAGCAGGCTCTGGTTCCTATAGAGTTCCTATAAAGACTATAGAATACACAAGACATGTCACTCGTATAGTTTTGAATAGGGAAAAGTGTAACGGTCAATATAGCAAATGAAGTACCTCCTACTAGTACAGGAGCCAATCATCAATCTCAATAGACTGACGTTTCTCCAGGAACCAGATGTGTGCTTTTACAACAGTTTGGTGATCAACAAAGGCACTGGAATCCCAGCGAAAACTTGCTTTACAGACCTAAGAAATATACCCACATAAAGCTTGAAATCTGTGCTTTTACATAAACCAAGTGCTCTTGAAAACAAAAGTTTTTTTGATTTTGTAATCTGCATGAAACGTACTTGAGGTACAGTACAGCATGTCAAATGCACATCACATGACAGCAACTACTCAAACACCCACAAACTTGTAAACAAAGAGTCGCTATCATTTCTGGAGGAGATCGGCCATCAAGACCAAGTTGTGTATTACTTCAGAAGACCAGCGTGACCAAACGATCATTATTCAGAAGATGATAATGTGTAACATGGTCATAAATGAGGATGGTGTCCTGATTTCATTCCTTTTGAGTGTGTATGCCGATTAGCTTGGGCAACCTGAAAATATGCAGATTTTGTTTGATTTTGACGTTTAGAAACGAAAATTATGAGAGTTGTTGTTTAATTTTGTTGGTGATTCCTAATATTTGGTGTAATCGTAAGCTTGACTAGCAGTTTTGGAGAATTTGATGTTTCCCCATTCAGACAGAATGCCTGATCATACTGCCCGAGAAATGTTTCAAAGCTGGCCGTCGAGTAAAATGACTTGCTTTAAAGGGGCTTTGCTGATGTTCAGGCAGGCTCTGCATCAGCGATTGATATTGTGCTTCACTACCTCTAGGGTTATGGCAGCTGTGGGCTCAATGCCCTTGTTTGCTATGATCAGGAGTAAGCATGGACAGCAAACTATTTTAGAGATGGGGGTCCTGGGATGACACATAATGACAACAGAAAAAAGGGAGAGGATAAGAGAGCTGAATGCTGAATGCTACTCTCATCTTCCACGACAAAGGATGAACTCAGACATGTTGCATAGCCCATTTTCTGTGCCAGGGTAGAAGCTCTCTCTCTCACTGGCATTTATCCAGTGCATTCCTAAAATTTCAGCTTTTAATCATTCTAGAATACCCTGTGGTAGAAGATCTCAAGGAAATCTTGTCTTCCAGGAGGAGCCCAGCTTGCAGTTTTTCTGTAATCACTTAAAGAAAAATAATTTCAAGGAACAAACCTTTAGGATTTTAGGAATGTCTTTTTGATTTCGTGAGCTTGCGTAGAGTCTGTATATTTTGTGCGCATCAACATGTTCACTAGTGATCAACTTTTCACACAGTTGATCAGCGGCGCTGTTAGATGGAGCACAAGCTAGAATATAGGCATCTGGGATATTCTTTTCCACCTGAGAGAAGTTGAAAAAAAGAGAAAGAAACACAAGGAATGACTTTGCAAAAGCTATTCCTCTGTCTTTCATACAAGCAAACAAATGTTGTGTTTACTGATAACCAGTTTTACCTGTTTGATAGCCTCCACTATCGTGACGGTTTTACCAGTGCCAGGAGGTCCAAACACCAGATACGGTGCAGGTTTGGAAGTACCGGCCACAATGTTACACACTGCACTGTACTGTTGAAAGTTGTACTCAAGCTTTCGATCAAAGAGCCTAAAGACAAAAATATTGACCTGAAATGCTCATCATTTTTATATTCTAAATGTTCAATAGCATATTAGTAGGGTCTTACTGACCTCAGAGCAGGTGGAGACACAGGATTCAGACTTCTTGAGGCCATAGGGAACAGCACATCCTTGAGGTTGTGCTGGACCGCCATATGAACCGCTCTGTGTTGTAATCTTACCGGAATACGATTGACTGTGAACTCGACACGGAATTTCATCTTATCAATGTATACATCTTTAAGGAACCTTAACACCCCAGGGAAACAAAAACACATTCAGTCAATGTCTGTTAATGGTTAGGGTTAGGGTTAAAGTGCAACAATAATTGATTATTTAAAAAAAAAAAAAATCAAATAAGAGTTTAAACATTGGTCACATTAGTCATTAAAACCCTCACATAGCAGCTATATTTGTGCAGATAAAAATAGTGTCATACATGTGTCAAGGGACTGAGAGATGCACAAACAGTTCAAACCTGACTCAGAGGAGGATATGAATCATGGCTGTGAGTGTTTTTTTGTGATAAATAGACATTAAATATTGTTAGAAAGTGACACCAGAGAAACACAGGCAAATTTTGGAATTAGCTTAAAAAAATTAGTAAGAAATAAGTGTATTTTCTAGAGAATGATTTATATTATTATTATTATCATCTGAAACCACCGTTTTTATTACAAAATAAAAGCTACACTCTTTTTCTCTTATTGTAATTTTGACATTGCAGCTTATATTCTAGAAACTATACTTTCATTAATAATTTCATTAAGCAATACAATATGATCATGCGTTAATGATGTGACATACAGTCAGAATTATTAACCCCCTAAATTATTAGCCCGCCTGTTTGTTTTTTGCCCAATTTCTGTTTAACAGAGAGAAAAAAAAATTCAACACATTTCTAATTATAATAGTTTTAATAACTTATCTCTAATAACTGATTTATTTTATCTTTGCCATGATGACAGTAAATAATATTTGACTAGATATTTTTCAAGACACTTCTATACAGCTTAAATCGACATTTAAAGGCTTAACTAGGTTAATTGGTTTAACTAGGCAGGTTAGTAATCAGGCAAGTTATTGTATAACAATGGTTTGTTCTGTAGACTTAGCTTTAGCTTAAAGATTTAGCTTAAAGGGGCTAATAATTTTCTCCTTAAAATGGTATTTAAAAAAATTAAACACTGCTTTTATTCTAGCCAAAATAAAAGAAAAAAGACTTTCTCCAGCAGAAAAAATATTATCAGAGATACTGTGAAACTTTCCTTGCTTTGTGAAACATCACTTGGGAAATATTTATAAAAGAAAAAAAAAACCAAAGGGGGGCTAATACTTCTGACTTCAACTGTATTTTACTCCAAGTAAGCAAACTACTTATTCAAAAAAGAGAAAGTACATCAAAGTTTATTTTAATCTGAACAAACATCCCAAGTGTGAACACATCCTAAATCTCACTGATGATCCTTCATACCTTTTGGAGAGGCCCAGTTTGACCTGATCCAGTTCCACTCTGTGGACGTAGCCCTTGTATTTGGTCACATTTGAAAAAGTGACCTCCTCGCTTTTAGTAAGAAGCAGGTGATCTCCTCTCAGGACTGAAGGCCTGTTCTCTGAGACACCAGGGAGCTTTAACACAATGAAAGAGACCCACAAACCATTAAAATCAAAACATCCAACAAACAATCTTTATCAACATTTCAACTCACATTTAAACCCATCAGTCTTTTGTCACGGTCCCTATGTAAGGTGACACTGTCTTTATTGTATCTCTTGATATCCACGTGCATCTGACACTCTTCCAGATACAGCAGTAAATCAAAGCGTTCTGCATAATTGTCGAAGGTCAGCGGACTCTGCAAAAGTGACCTAGAGAACAACAAAGAAAGTGATCACTGTTTCCCATAAGCAAATATGAATATACCTGAGTCCTCTGGATTATTCATACAATTTTACACATGCCACATCATACAATGCATAAAAGTGAAACATTTAGACAAGCCATACAAAAAATAATAATTTTACTTCAATTGTGTTATGAAGCGTACAAATTAACAATATACAGACAATCATATACAGTTGTAACCAGGAGTTTACATACACTTTAAAAAAAGGAACATTACCATTTTTAAATAAATGTCTGATGGATAAATTTACATTTACATTTAGTCATTTAGCAGACGCTTTTATCCAAAGCGACTTACAAATGAGATCATTTTTAATCATACTAAACGTTTACTATTTTAGATCCGTTAGGATTCCCAAAATGATTTGCATTTGCTAAATGCCAGAATACTGAGAGAATTTCTTTGAGACTTTTTTTAAATTAATTTCTAGACAGTCAAAAGTTTACATTAATTTCCATGATATTTTTTTTAGCTTTTAAATTGTATAGCTTTGGTCAAATGTTTTGGGTTTCCTTCCAAAAGCTTCCCACAATAGTTAGAAGGAATGTTGGCCCGTTCCTTCTGACAGAATTGGTGTATCTGACCATCTGCTTGCTCGCACAAGCTTTTTCAACTCGGCCCACAAATTTTCTATAGGATTGAGGTCAGGGCTTTATGATGGCCACTCCAAAACATTCACTCTGGTGTCCTTAAAGCACATTTTAACTAATTTGGCAGTATGCTTAGGGTCATGGTCTGTTTGGAAGAACCATTTGTGGCCAAGTTTAAATTTCCTGGCTGATGTTGCTTCAGTATTTCTACAGAATGTTCTTTCTTCATGATGCCATCTATGCTGTGAAGTAGACCAGTCCCTCCTGCAGAAAACAGCCCCACAACATGATGCTGCCGCCCCCATAATTCACAGTTGGGTTGGTGTTCCTAGGCTTGTAAGCTCCTCCAAATGTAACTCTGGTCATTATGGCCGAACAGTTCAATCTTAGTTCCATCAGAGCACAGAACATGTCTCCAAAAATATTATTTTTCCCAGTGTAATTTAGCTAATTGTAATCTGGCTTTTTGTTGTTGTTGTTGATTCTAGCTTGTTGATTTTCCCATGTTGTCACACAAAGAAGCAATGTGTTTGAGGTTTTACTTACTATTCTACAGTTGTGCCTCCAATTAACTCAAAATGTTGTCAATTAGCCAATAATAAACTTCCAAAACCTTGACACCATCATCTGAGCTTTTTCAGAGGCATAATAATCTTATTGTATGTGAACTTTTGACTTTCAAGAAAAGTTTACATACAATCGCTCTCTCAATATTCTGCTATTAAGCATATTAGAAACACATTTGATAATCCTAACTTAAAACTATCCTAACTTAAACTAAAAGAGAAAAAGTTTAGTCACATTAACATCTGACTTTTTTTAAATGGTTATGACTTTTTATACAGTGTATGTAAACTTCTGGTTTTAACTGTATATGCTATAAAATCAGTAGATGGCTAGATTATTCTGAAATTCTGAAGTCTACACAAGTATGGCAACAGTGGTTTTCACAAAAATATCTCAGTGATCTCCAAAGTTGGGATAACTGTTGGGAAGGGGGGCAGGGGGAAACATTGCAGTGACATTAGAAATCTGAGTGTCATCATTGATAGAGCTCTGTTTTAATAGCCATGTTAAGTCTATTATTCGTGGATGCTTTTTCCATCTGAGTAGCATTGCAAAAAACAGAAGTATTGTTTCAAAGGAAGCAATGGAGATGCTTGACCATGCCTTTATTTCTTCACAGTTGGACAATTGAAATGTTCTCTTCACTTGTCTGAACAAAGATTCTATATAGCGATTGCAAGTTGTGTCGAATGCAACTGTGAGGCTTTAAACAACACTAGCAGGAAGTCGCACATTACTCCTGTGCTCAAGTCTCTTCATTGGCTTCCTATTAGTTTTGGAGTAAACTTTAAGATTGTAGTAGTTACATATAGATGTCTGCATGGTCAGGCCGCCCTATCTGATAAAAATCTTTTACGTGGTCACTCCTGTGGTCAGTCTCTGAGGCCTTCTGGCAAAGACCTTTTAGCCATTCCCAGAACACGTCTTTAGACTAAAAGTGATCGTGCCTTCTGTTTTGTGGCCCAAGGCTCTGTAACTCACTCCTTCTAGCACTGAGAACTCTGGAATCAGTTGAACTTAAAAAAAAAAAACATATAAAAACACATCTTTTTGGTCAAGCTTTTAAGTTTTCTGTATTTTGTGATTCATTTTTTTTCCACATTTATTAATGCTTTTGAGCTGCATCATGGGATTTTGATCTTAGAAATAACTTTTTTAACCTTGAAAAGTTTTTTTAAAAAGTGACTTTTATTAACATTTTTAATAGTTAAATAATATTTATATTGTCTGGGGTCTATTATTTTACAGACTTCTTTCTCTACATAATAATTTTATACATTATATTTTTTCAAACTACTAACATGTCAATAAAAGTCACTTTGTTAAACTCATTCATTTTCTTGTCAGCTTAGTCCCTTTATTAATCCGGGGTCGCCACAGCGGAATGACCCACCAGCTTATCCAGCAAGTTTTTACACAGCAGATGCCCTTCCAGCTGCAACCCATTTCTGGGAAACATCCACACACACACACTCATACACTACGGACAATTTAGCCTACCCAATTCACCTGTACCGCATGTCTTTGGACTGTGGGGGAAACCGGAGCACCCAGAGGAAACCCACACAAAGGCAGGGAGAACATGCAAACTCGACACAGAAACACCAACTGAGCCAAGGTTCGAACCAGCAACTCAGCAACCTTCATGCTGTGAGGGGACAGCACTACCTACTGCGCCACTGCCTCACCACTTTGTTAAACTGTAGAGTTGAATTTTCAACACCAAAAGTTGATAGAGCAGAGATCAAGGTCCCATAATGCAATTCACAACCGTAAATAAATGCAAAACACTTGTGAATCACAAAATACAGAAACTGTTAATTGACAGATTTTTTACAGTGTAGTTAACAAAATAAAAGTTACATTAAAAACAACAACAACATGGAAATAACACCAAAACACACCAGTTGCAACAGATGAATTTTACAGCACCATGTTAAACGTTCACCTTTTCGGTGCTCACAAACATTCAAAACAAATACAGGTCATGACTGAATGTGGAGGATGATCTCGGTTGTGTTGTCATTATACTTATGTTTATATAGGCCTATTAGTGTGTGTGTGTGTGTGTGTGCATTGTTGCACGCAACGTTTGTATTAACAACCTCCAAGGATAGTAGTGGGGCTTCTGTGTCACTGGCATTGTTATTTTGAGGGTCATGGGTTAAAAATTTTGGTATATCTTATAAAAATACATGTGGAATAGCCTAAAAAAATTTGCCCATTGGTGTATGGGCAAACTATGACCAAAGTGCATGGTCTGCTGCACTGTAAACAAAATGAAATGTACAAGCAATACAAACAGGTGTGTCTGTTATAACAGACACATCTCCCTGTTTGCATTGCTTATCATAAAATGATCTCAGATCAGTTCGAAATGCCAAAATTGAAAATGTTTCTGAAGGATCATGTAATCATGAAGACTGGAGTAGTCACTTTTGAAGATTTGTATATTGAAAATGGCCATTTTATGATAAAATAAACTTTTACTAACTGAAGATCCTTAAGTTTCCCCCTGAAGATCCGAGAAGAACAGTCCTCTTTCAGGAGTTCGGCCAGTATAGTGGTGTCAGGAGGAGGAATGTATTTCCCCAAGGGCAGAACATTTACAAGAAAGTTCTGAAGATAACTACAGGAAAAAGAAACACATATAAATAACTGTACAGCCAGAATCAAATAGAACAAAAGCATGCAAAAAAATTATGTCTTCATACATAAAAAAAATGTATTTTATATATATATATATATATATATATATATATATATATATATATATATATATATATATATATATATATATATATATATATATATATATATAAATCAATAAATGTTTACATTTTTATATCTAATGATAATTACAAAAAATTTATGTATTATTTTTTATAACCACATTTAATTATAATTTTAATATCATGGGTCTACATTTTTTTGCATGTCAATAATACACCCTAAACCAGAGACCAACCGTCAAGTAGAACGGCTTCGGTGAAGATGTTTGTATGACTGTTAATTAATATCTAGACTTAATATCAACAAGAAAACTATTTAAATCGTGTTTCTGTGTCATGTTTCATCTGCAACAACAATCCTGAACTTATATAAAGACGTGTTTGGACATTAATGTCTGAATGCATAATTATCCTGAGGAGATTTTTTTCTGCATGAAAGACTGGTGAATGGGAGATTAACCTGCTACTGTTTCTCCAATAAGATAGGAAATGAAACATGTTAGAACTGTGGATGATGTGTGGATGATTGACGGGGCTCATAACTAAGCAACATAACAATCTGTTAATGAGGAAGTAGTTTGTCCCAAAGCTTGCATACTCTTCAGTTACACATTCAAAAGTGTTTATTTTTCCTTCACAAAAATGTACATACTTTTAGGGCTTAGTATAAGTATGCAAATTGAGACGCAGCACATGTCTCACTAACCAAACACACCTCATTCAGATCATCAGCTCATTAGCAGAGCCTGAAAGACCTATAATGAGTGTCACAGACAAAGGAGACATCCAAAACATGCAGTGTTGGTGATTCTCCAGGAATGTGGTTGAGAAACACTAAACAATAGGTAGTGCCAAACAGGTGTAAAATTAGGTCTCTCTCATACATTAATTTAAAATGTGACTTGTTAATATGAATTATAATGCAAAAATGTAAGTATGAAAAATATGCAATATTAAAATGTTCAAATAAATGATTTTTACAGTAAAAGCAAGATTTTTTCTAAAAGGTAAATCTTGATTTGGCGGGGAGAAATGTTGACTTATAATCAGGGTTGATTTATATTTAGATCAAAGCAGTAAGTGTGTGCTTTTTCTCTCACCCATCAGGTGGAAAACCCTCATCTATTATGCAGTTTTCGGGTTCAGAGATGTTGAGTCTCAGGGGCTTGTATGGCTCTGTAGGACCCAGCAGGGCTGCAAGTTTACTCCTGTATTCAGCCTCAATGAAGCGCACAATGTGGAAGGAACGTGTGGTGGGCTGGGTGTTCTTCTTAAACTCAAATGCCAGAGTAGCCGAATAAACTCCAACATGACTGGATTTGAATCTCACAATCACCTCATACTTCTCACCTACAGTGTTCCAAAACACAGAGTTTATATTGATTTCAGAAAGATAATTTTAAAGGTCTAAATCCATTACACAAATGTAACCTCCAAACAGCATTGTGCATTTCAATTAGTGTATAAGCAGGGTTGCCCAAACTTTTCCTACGTAGGGCCAAAAACCAAGTATCATTGAGAGCTGTGGGTCAAAGTTAAATATACCAAACTAAATTACATTAAAGTTGCAGGGTAATTTCCTAATTTATTTAATATTATTTCAAAATAAATAGAAAACATTCCTTTAAACCATATAATCTAATGCAGGATAACTTTTTAAAAGTATAACTTAATGCAATAAAAACATAAACAATCACATTTATAACACAGTGGAGTTCAATGCTGAACATCGCAACATCCCCATCATTCTTCATCAACCTCAACCATCATGCATTGTCAATTGACAGTATGTACATTTAAACAAAATCTGATTTATTTATGCCATTTAATTGAAACATGTCATTTCAGTTAGCGTTTACCAATAAAACATCATTCTTCCTTTTTTCTCAGATGGGATGGAGGGCCAAATCATAGGTTACAATGAGGCAAATTTGCCCTAGTTTGGGCATCACTGGTATAAAGTGTAAGATGACTCACGTGGCTCCAGACGGAGTGGATTGTTGCGTGTGACTTTCCGACTGTCTTCCAGAGTAAAATACTGCAGCCAGCAAAGAGCAGTGTAGTATGTGAAATATACAGCTTCCTGACCAGTGTTCTCAACAAACAGCTTCAACTCATAAACTTCTGCTTCATCCACACTGATCCGAATCTTTCCATCTTCTATATAGAGCTCAGAGGACACCCGCACACCCCACTTATCAGCTATAAAATGAGACCTGAGGAAAGAAGAACAGCATTATGTGTTCACTCCACACTTCATTTTCTGTTCCAAATTTTATATTTAAAGGGATAGTTCACCAAAAAAAGAGAATTTTCTCACTATTTAATCACCCTCATGTGGTTCCAAACTGTCTTTCTTTTGTTGAACAAAATTAAAGATATTTTAAAGGGCCATGAAACCCCCCGTTTCAGCAGGATGTTTTCACACCTCTAGTTTGGAAAAAGTCAGGAAAGTGGGTGTGTCTAACTCTGTTTGGGTGGGAATGTTGGTGGAGGGAAAATGGTCAGGGTTTGAATAAAAATAGGAGTTGCAATTTGGGCACCAAGGAAAAACAAACACACACACACACAGGGGAGAAAGACAGTGAGTTTAAAGAGCCCATATTATACATGAAATAGGGTCATATCTTGGTTGTAAGGGTCTCCAACAACAGTTTAATATGCATGCAAGGTCAAAAAAACACTTTTATGGTCTTATAATCTGCATTTATTTTTACCTAATTATCACAGCGACTCCCGTATGAATCGTCCAGTGATTCATTTGTTCCCAAACCCCTCCTTAGCACGAAGCTAATCTGCGCTGATTGGACCAATGACAGCCTGTTGCGATTGGTCGACTGCCTTCAGTCAGAGAGTGAAAAGCCAAACAGCTAATCAGCAATATAAAAGTAATCACAGTTCATACACGCTCGATAGTGTAGGCGTGGATTTTAGCTGCCAGTGGGTCAATGCAAATACAGACTATGGACTTGAAAATTCAGACGACTAACTATTTTATTGAGCAAAAACTCCAAAAACAGTTGAGGAGATCTCCTAGCTTCTCACTCTGCTCTTTTCACAGACACACACACACATATTGCACACACACACACGCACTTAACCCTGCTCCGGACGACAACGCGCGCGCGCACACACACACACACAAACACACACACCTCCGGACGACAGCGCGCGCACACGCACACACAGACACACACACTTCTCCTCGTCCACGGAGCTCCGTTAACAAAGCAGCACGCGTCGCGTTTTTAACGTGACTTTGCACGCGATAAGAGAATATAGCCAGTTAACCTGATACAGTACACTCGGTTACAAGTAACAAATCACAACTAAATACATTTGCAAGCTAGAGTAAACGAGGCAACTTTAATCGCACGTACTTACACTTGAGAAATGGAGGAAAAAAAATCCATCCTGACGTCCATCAGTAAGTTACTCTTTACTGATCCTTCCTTTAACAAACGCTGATGAAGTATTCTTTGTAGCATGTAGTTTCCAGAGGTTTCCAGTAGTTTCCAACTGCTTGGCTATAATGCTGAGGTTTCATCTTTGGGTAGAGACTCAATATATCCATCTGCAGTGTGACTTCAATCGACCGGCATGTTTGTGTGTGCGTGTGTTTGTGGGTGTGTGTGTGTGTGTGTCTGGGTTTCTGCGTCAGAGGGCAGGGCCTCAGGTTTGAAATCTCCCGGGTTTGCGCGTGCACGTGAATAACTTGGTTTCGTTCGTACGTCATGGCGAAACACCTAATGAATCGGTATCAAGGCGACTCGTTTGAAGCACTATGAGTCGACTCTTTTATAGATGAATCAACAGTTTTAAACACTGTATTCTTACAGATTTAAGCCTTAGCTGGATACTTTACTTCACTTAGAGCTGTGTTACACACTACATGGAGGGGAATTTTCAAAAACCCATAATATGGGCTCTTTAATGATGGTGAAATGTTTGATACCACATGTCGTATAAGAGAAAAAAGCCTCTGCATTTCTCTGTAACTTAGATGCACTCAGTTGGTCAGAAAGCCATGTGTGTGTAGACTATCCTGTCACAAAATGCGACGAAAATTCAACATGACAGTCGGCAAAAGTTTGCTTACAGTGTTCACGTGTTTACACTCAAGAGAGCAGCATTTACAGCGGATCTTTTAATATTGTAGTGATATTAACGTATTGTAAACGAAGTAACTTGAAAATCATTTTGACTAAGGTCTGTCTGTAAACACTGAAAGAGTAGTGCTGACCATACGAACTATAACTTTGCCATCTGAATGAACAAAGAAAGGGCACTGATCGCACACACTTACCGAATCTGCAGACAGGACAATCAGCACATACTGGACCTGCATCTTTTTTTTTAAAGGAGACGAGCAGCAAGTCCGGATCTGACCATTGATGAGAAATGCTCTTGAGTAAAAAATGTTCCAAACAAACGCATTTCTGCCGCGCGTCACATACATGGATCCACACGTGAGTCCAGCAGCGCTCTCATAGAGAGAAAATGAAACAAAACCTTCACATTATGAAAGCAACACTGGCGACCCGTATCTCCAAACAATTCTTATTCTTTTCCCACAACTTTTGGCAACACGACGTGTGTTGTCTCTGCTGTCTGAACACTGTTTCAGGTCTTACAGTCTAAGAAAGCTAGCATGCATATTAATGAAGTTGCAGCACATACATAATGTAGCGCGCTGATTGGCTTGAACCAAGCCTTACTCATGAATGAATGCAACACACGCAGAGACGTAATATGGGACACCCAGGTACAGACTTCCAGTCTACATGCTGAAATACACGCTAAGATCTCATGGCCGTGACACAGCTTCAAAAATTTGTTTCAAACCGGAAGTTTCAATTTTCACTTTTTTTGCTTTTTTCACCAATTTTCACTATTTAGTGAGATATATGTGTCCTAATAGTGTTTTTAGCAGTGTGGGACACATATACGACTGTCAACAGCTCAAAAAATGTGTTTTGGTGTTTTGTGACCCTTTAAAGAAAACTGAAAACATGTAACCATTGACTTTCATAGTATTAGTTTTTCCTATGGACATCGATGGTTACAGGTTTCCAGCTTTCTTTGAAATATCTTCCTTTGTGTTCAGCAGAAAAAAGAAAATCAATCTGGTTTGGAACAAGTGAAGGATGAATAAATGATAACAAAATCTACATTTGTAAGTAAACTATGAAACAAATACAAGAATGAATAGGTTTGTAATCACATTTTCTTAACTTTCTTATACTAACAATCTTCCTAACTGTCTAATTCTATCTATCTATCTATCTATCTATCTATCTATCTATCTATCTATCTATCTATCTATCTATCTATCTATCTATCTATCTATCTATCTATCTATCTATCTATCTACCTATCTATTTTATTTAATATTTTTTAATAATCTTTTAGCAATCTCTTTTCTGTACTTTTATTCACCTGATTGCTATTTATTCACATAACTCATGGTTTCTCAACAACATACTTTTGGATTTGGATGAATTTGATTGTCTCCTTTGTCTGTCACACCCATTACAGGTTTCTCTGATAATGAGCAGATAATCTGAATCAGGTGTGTTTGGTTAAGGAGAACTGGTGGTCCTCCAGGAACGGGGTTGAGAAACACTCACCTAACTTATAATTCAATGTGGATACAAGTGTCTACCATTCATTAATTTTCTTTTTGTCTTAGCCCCTTTATTAATCAGGGGTCATCACAGCGGAATGAACCGCCAATTTATCCAGCATATCTTTTTTACGCAGCGAATGCCCTTCCAGCTGAAACCCAACATTGGGAAACATCCATACACACTCATTCACACACATACACTAAGGACAAATTAACTTTTCACCTTTTCACCCAATTCACCTATACCGCATGTCTTTGGACTGTGGGGGAAACCGGCGCACCAGAAGGAATCTCACTCGAACACAGGGAGAACATGCAAACTTCACACAGAAATGCCAACTGATCCAGCCTGGGCTCGAACCAGCAAACTTCTTGCTGTGAGGCAATCGTGCTACCCACTGTGCCACCATGATGACCCCCACTAAAAGTGTCGACTAGATAATTAAATGTAATTTTTTGTAAATGTAACTTTTTATGGTTTTCATTTATAATAACAACTACAATAGTATCCCAATGAAACTTACTGTACATACTAGTTACAGGTTACGGACTCACCTGTCTGTAGTGTTGAGTCGCTGTAGGATGTATTTTACCAGTTTTCTCCTTGCTCTGACTCCACTCTCTGGGCAAGAGGGCCCCTGATCACTAGAAGGCGTCACTGAGCTAACATTACCTGGAGTTGCGTTAGCTTGGTTCTGTTGTCTTCGACGTGGCCGAAACCATTGATCGTGCAGCCCCGTTCTTACCTGGATGAAGCGTTTTCATGAGTGCACTACGTCTAAGTTGCATAGCATATTTCAAAATCTCAAACATAACACAGTTAATGCCCATCAAATGCAGAGCTGTTGAAAAAACATATTAAGCTCTCGATATAAAACTTCCAGTCAGTAAGGAAATGTTCCCTTTTCTTGTTCTCTTTTATTGTAATATTTTATATATATTATTTATAATATTTATTTATATAAATAATAATAATAATACATAAGATAATATTTGATTAATATTTTACACTTTTATCGCTGTAATTTATACAGTTGCTTCTATTTGGCTGCTAATGTTAGGCTTAAAATAGGATTTTTAGCATATTAATGAAGAGTAAAATAAAAGTTAAAATAATTATAAAACAATAAACATAAACAGTGACATAAAATGTTATTTTGTTGTAGGCCAAATAAAAAAATAAAAATACCAAGTTACAACTTGCTTTTAAAGAGATAGTTCACCCCCAAAATGATAACGTACTAACCATTCACTCAAGTGATACCAGACCTTTATGAGATCAGCCTTCTGCTGAACACAAAAGAAGATATTTTGCAGAATGTTGGAATCCTGTAACCATTGACTTCCATAGTAGGAAAAAACAAATAATATAAAAGTCAATTGTCACAGGTTTCCAACATTTTTTTTTTTTTCAAAATAAGATTAGTTTTCAACAGAAAAGATACTAACAGGTTTGTAACAACAGGTTTGTAACAAGTGAATAGAGAGAAAAATCAAACCAAATTTTAGTTTTTGGTCAACTATCCCTTAAATTGACATTTGGAAGAAAGTACTTGGTCTTTGACTTTTTGACTTCAAATATTTTAGCTTTAACAAATGCCATGTGATCACCATTTTGTGCACTTGTGGGTTTTATTGAGGATATTGCATCAAATTTGATTTAAAATGCGTTTTTATTCCACTGGCAGTTTTTAAAGTTAATACTTTTACGATTTTTTTACTATTAGGTTTTTCTGAGCTCATATCTGTGAAGTTTATTTTCAATAGTCCACATAAAACGTGCGGTAAATGGCAAAATTACATAGCTTCAACGGGTTAACAGGAAATCACAAGTTTGCACTCATAGAAGCATATACACATTGTAGTGTTTATGTATTTTACAAGCCTAAACTTATAAAATACACTTTAATTTAGGCTTTTGAAAAAAATCGCACATCAAATGCAAAAACCATCTGCTTACTTGGTAGAAATAAAATGTCTCACATTAGTATTGAAGTAAACACGACCTGTTCTTGAGAGGCGCGCTTTATTGGCGTTTCTCAACGCATAGAGGACTCGAGAGAAGTTTGGATCTTTAACTCCACCGTCCCTGAAAAGGCACATACAAAATTGTGTCCGTATTACTGTATGTCAATACAAGCACGAAGTGATATGTTGTGGAATTGTACAGTTTTACCTATCTCGAAACTCTGTGTTGTAGATATCTGTCAGAGTATTTCTGTCCGAAATGGATCTCCTGTTTGTTTCCTCCAGCATCTCTATAAAATCCAATCCAATTGTCCGCACAGCGGCTATAGAAAGGTAATTATTCCTGTTTCTTCTGCTCATACTGTCTGAAAGCTCCTATTGAATCTGTCTATCGCAGAAACGGATTGAACGATAACCGCACGCTCTCATATGATCGAGCGCAGTTCTTTCTGCGGAAAAGTTATAAAGCTGACAAAACGAAACCGATACTTAAGCGGGGGGTTATGGATAAAACCAGAGATAAAGCTGGATATGCAGTGCTTTATGTGTATTAGTCTAGTCCTTCTATAAGTAGCCTCATTTGCTAATATGACAATTGAAGTAGACCTGTTATTTTTGCACTTCAGTTGATGTAACCAAGCTACCATAGCCTATAGCAAAAGGACACTACCCTTTGGGTACAAAGCCCCAGTGACCCCTATACGGAAAACATAAGCAGCAAAAGACGGTCACACACACCAGCTAGGCTACATACACTGCCTGACAAAATTATTGTTGTCAATCCAAGTTGTGAGAGCAACAAATAATATTAATAACTTCTAGTTGATCATTTGGAAAAGTGTCAAACGGTAGATTTTTTCAATGAATCATCTGTTGAACTGCATCCCAATCATCACAAATACTGCAGAAGACCTGCTGGAACCCGCATGGACCCAAGAACAGACTGAGGTATCAAGACAGTTGTGCTGCCCACAGGAGAGGCAAATTCTTCAGCAGGATAGCGCTCCTTCTCATACTTCAGCTCCCACATCAAAGTTCCTGAAAGTAAATAGGGTCAAGGTGCTCCAGTATTGGCCAGCCCAGTCACCAGATATGAACATTATTAAGCCTGTCTGGTGTGAGATGAAGGAGGCGTTGAAGATAAATCCAAAGAATCTTGATGAACTCTGGGAGTCCTGCAAGAATGCGTTCTTTGCCATTCCAAATGACTTTATTAATAAGTTATTAGAGTCATTGCAGAGATGTATGGATGCAGCCCTCCAGGCTCATGGGAGTCCACTACACCATTACTATATTCTGTACTGTACATTATTTCTGTTAAGTGACAAGACTTTTGCCTAAGTAAAGTTAGACCTTACAGTCAAATAAATAAAAAACAATGCATGATCGTATTTTATCTGGTAAAATAAACATAATATATATAAAAACAAGTACTTGAAACTGTGCAATACAATTAGGTTTTACTACAAATTTGTCACTGTCAGCAGTCAAATTTGTTGAAGCCCTCACACAACCTTCTTACTTCAGGTTAATTGTCAACCGTTAGACTATGATATAGACTGCATTTCAACTGTTAACTGAAAAATACTATTTGCAGAATAACAGTAATAAATAAATGAATGTGAAAGCAGTAATAGACTCTTCATTGTAGTGTGTGTGATCTTTTAAGATGCTGCTATAAACCATTGCAGAATAACAAAATGGAATGTACAGTAGCTGTTGTCAAGCTACTCTGCTGCTTGCTAGATACTGGAAAAGCTACATTTGTATGAGCTACTCAAAAATGTAGCTAAGCTAGTAGCAAAGCTATTTGTAGCTAGCTACTCCCCAACACTGTATACTGTCAAGCCTGAAATTATTCGTAACCTAAGGGTAAAAATAATTTTGATCTTGAAGTTATGTAAGATTGACATTGGAAAGAACACCAGATCCTCAGCTGAAAGATCTCACTTTTCTTTGTGCGTGATGCAATAAAAAGTATATAAAAGTTAAATATAAAAGTTTAAAATAAGCAAGAAAATTAACATTTTCATGTTTTATTTTTGGTTGAAACAGACACTGTATACAATGCGTTTAGTGACAAAATTGACCATATTCAAGAAAAACAACAAATTAATGAATTTCTTAGCAAGGAAATATTAATCAAAAAGGTTATTAAATGTAAATTAAGTAGCATGCCATGGTATGCAGCATATTTAAAGTTTGCCTGATTGTGGAACCATGATTTTCAAGTATCTATAATGCAGATATCTGTTTTTTATATAAGAATCATGTTAATATGTCTCCTGATTTTTCACTTATTTTCAATTTAACATGCAATTACTTCAGTCCAAAAGTTTTTTAATTAAATTAAATTATGAGTTTGATACATGAATTTGGTACATTGAAAACACACTGGTGTAAAAAATGAGGCACTGCAGTTTCAAAAATATATTATAAACCTTTTAAAAGATCCCAAGCTTCTACAAAATGGCAGCATTATGGTGAGTCTCCAGCTTTTCAACTTCCTGTTGTCATAAAACCCTGGTAATAATAAATATATATATAAATAATAAGTAAAAAATAACCTTTCTAGTTTTTACTGCATAGATCAATGGTGTCCAAACCTGTTCCTTGAAGATCAATGACCAAACAGAATACATGAACTAGTTTTTCAACAGTTTCAATGCTCACTAGAATCTTGGAGAATTAGTTTTCTGCAGAGCAAATATGGGCAATTCTGACTTTGTCTATGTTTTTAAAATGGTGGTTGTTTTTAAATCATGCAGTAAAATTGAAAATTATCTTCATTACCTAAAGCCTAAACCAAACCATGTCTATGACCTGAGGCAATCAGGTAACAGGGTAAAAGAAAATGACTTTTTTAGTCTCACCCACCGATCTGGTTATGCATTGTTTTGCCGGAGTGACATACAGCATTTGGAAATTTGAATTTTATTTTTAAGGCTGTTTAATTGCAAATTTAATGCAATGTTTAAATACCATGTGCAGTTTCATGTTTAAATTATAATTCTCAATAAACACTCTAAAATAACATGGCTATAATAATGCAAGACTTATCGGGATGGGCCTTAATGACATTTTATTTTAATGTTCATGTCTCCATGGAGGACTCAGAAATTGCTGGACCACACTCTCCTCGGTTTCCACTAGAGGGAGAAAGAACATGATAGTGAGTGCTTGATTTACAGGATTCATTTACAAAATTAAACCAAATTAAAAAAGCACAGAAGCTGTCCACAGAAGACCAAAATAAACAAAACACGTTTGGACTTAGTCAAATGTTCCAATATTTAGAATAAAAGTCTCAGCGAGGTTGCATTTATCTGATGAGAAATAAAGTCATAAAACAAATCAAATAAAATATTATTGCATATAAAAAAAACTATTTTCAAATGTGTTAAAATTCATTCATTCATTTTCTTTCGGCTTTGTCCCTTTATTTATCAGGGGTTGCCACAGCGGAATGAACCGCCAACACTAAAATTGTTAATTTATTAATTTTAAAATCTAGTCAGTAATTTATTTCTGTGATGGCAATTCAAAATTTTCCACATTATTAATCCAGTCTTCAGTGTCACATGATCCTTCAGAAACCATTCAAATATGCTGATTTGGTGCTAAAGAAACATTTCATGTTAAATTTGGACAATTTTTACAATTCAAAAGGAACAGAACTAATTTGAAACATTATAAATGTTTTTGCTATCTCTTTCAAACAATTTACTTTAAGTTATTATTTTTTTTAAGTCAATGTCTTACCAGTGATCTCCTGTCTGATGTTAAGACTGAGCAAACGCTCAGCAATCACATCTGTTTCTTCCAAATGGGTAATATCATATCCAGTGTAGCCTCTTTCCTGAATGCAGTAGTTCATAAACCTACAGGTATAACAATATGCAATGAGTTCAAAATGCATATGATAAATATATCATCCATGTATATACCTCATTTAAAAGTTCATGTACCTGCCCCAGATTTCGTCTGTCCGCAGAATAATAGGGTTTCCCACCATGATCAGCAGGGCTTTTGCTCTTGTCACCGCCACATTGAATCTCTAGAGTTGAGAAAGACTTTGTTTTCTTTTGTCTTTTGTTGTGTTGTACAGTGTGTGAGATACTACTGCACCTTCTCATTCTTCAGAAACCCGATGTTGAATTTGTCATCCAAAATGATGTGCTCCTTGCTGCTGCGAACGGTTGACACAATGATCACTTTTCTCTCCTGGCCTTGAAACTCCTCCACAGAGCCAACCTATAAAATGCATTATTTTATTTATTTATTTTTTGCTTATGAGTGTGAGAGTGTGAACAAGACATAGGGATCTATCATACACTCGGCGCAGCGAGGTGCAAGACATGTATGGTGCAATTTCTTGCTATTTTCAGACAAGCGCAACTCTAATTTTCACATTTTGCGCCATGTTGTTTAAATAGCAAATCCATTTGCGTCATTTTGTGGACTCATGGGTGTTCCGGTCTAAAAATGAGGTGTTTTAAGGCGCATTGTTGGTGTGTTGCTATTGTAATAAACTGAAATAGACTGAAAAGCTTGTCTAAAGTCCAGCACAGAGTGCGTTAGTTATGCACCTATGCGGTCCAAAATCAGGCATTAAGAATAGAACCTGTGTTTGGATATAGCTCAGTTTTTTCACCAAATTTCATTATTATTGTTCTTTTATTTTGTTTGCTGGAAATTAAAACTGAATTTACAAATAGTTTTGAAACTAAATATGTAGGCTACTGGATGTCTTCAATGGAGTGTGAACCAAACTGTTTCCTTATTCACGAAAGTAAAGAAGTAAAGAGTAAAAGGGAAGTAAAGAAAAAGTAAACAGTTCAAATGGAGGAGGCTTAATTTTTATCCTCAAGCTGCAGATGATCTGTTTAACTGTTTTCTAGCTAGTGAAGCATTTTTCCACTTACAAATTCTGCCAGGTAAATAGTAAATATGCCATGGCATAATGTAACTGGTTCTTAAAGGAAATGGGAGATGAGACTTCAATGCACATTATGCTCAAAACTCATGCATAACTCATTTAGAGAATAAGCACGACCCTGTTAGATCATTGGCCTGGGCGGAGAGCGTATTTTTTCTGTCCTTAAAACAGCAAAAGTTGATTTGGACATGCCCTTAATGCTTTTGCACCATGTGCTTTAGACTTTGCGCCTAGATTGTTAAAATAGATCCCTTAGAGTCAAACCTTCAGCTCTTCAATGCCTGAGAGAGATTTAAGTTCCCTGTGAATCTTGATGGCCTGCCGGATTTTCTCCACCTTTAAAAATACAAACAATAAAGATTACAGTAAGGATAATCTGTAAGAAAAATTTAAGCTTGTCTGGAAAAAGAACTGTGAATAGATGTTTCTGTACTTCAAAAAATAATATGTACAAACTGTTTCTTAGATATACACCATCACCATCACAATAATACTGACCCCAATAGTTGAACAAGAGAGCATCTCTGCATAAAAAAAATATAAATATTGGAAACTTTGGGTAAAATATAGACCAACCCAATGGTTGGTTTAATATTTTTAATGACATCTTAATTCAACTGTTGGGTTGGGGGTGTTTTAATTAAACAGATTTGTTAAAAAGGTATTTTTATCTTCACCTGTTTCCTGTAGGGGGCGATGATGCCAATATCTTTGGGGGAGATTTTTGCAATCCCCTTCTTGGCCTGTGTCAGGAGCAGCTTTTTCAGGTAGTCCATGATTTTGTCGATTTCAGACGTGTTAAAAAAGGATGGGCTGGTTGACTCTCTCTCATCCTTTCCAACCACTCCATGGAAAATCACAGGAAAGCCCTGAAAATGCAGCACAGAGCAGAATGTGTCATCTCCTGAAAACAAAAAAGGTGAAAATCATGCTAAAATGATTAAGGAAATGCAATAATACGATCAACAAGGGGCCTTGGTATAACATCAGAATTACAAGACACAATGCCTTCACGAAAACCTCTAAAATCCCAAACTGTCCAATGTAACCATTGACTACCACCAAGTTTAACTTCACAAAGAAACTTCTGAAAGTTCTGACCTTCACATTACTTAGACTAGTGACTGCTGTCTGACACCCTATGAGAAGGAGTTAACTTACTAGAAATGCTCAAAAAGTTTAAGAGTTTAGATTGGGCAAGAGGTTGACTTGATTGAGGGCTAATTTTTCCTCATTCACAAATATTAAGACAAAAACAAGCCCCACATTTACAGTAAAAACACTTGAAATGGAAGTTAGTTTCATAAATATTATGAGAAGAATAATGTGACAATGACTTGCAGAGAAAATGAGACTCGTTGGTAAGTTCACTAAAGTGGTAAGCACAATAGAAAATATAAATTTTCATCAACTGTGTGATGCTATCATGTCACAATGAACCAAAACCTCTGAGGTATATTTTCAGTACCTTGTTGAATCTACGCTACAAAGGATAAAGCCAGTTCTGAAGGCAAAAGAGGGTCCAACCCGATACTAGTAAGGTGTACCTAATAAAGTGGCCGGTGAGTATATATCGTTTTCAGGATATTAGATGATTATATAATGAGTTTTTTTTTGTTATATCCCCCAGTCCTACGATGAACTATTTGCTGTGTCCCTATTCGCATACTTTCCATTCTAAATAGTATTCAAAAATAGAATTGGTACATCCCAAACCATAGTATGTTGAAAAGAGTATGCCAAAGGTTCCTGGATGGTTTACTACTTTAGGTAGAAATTCAATCTGTGAAATCTAACTGCTAATACTGGCCACAATATTGTTGTGTGTTGGACGTGAATTCAATTAGAACTACAAAATTCTGGTAAAAAAAAAAAAAAAAAAGTTTTGAAAAACTGCAAACATGGTGGACACACAAGGCCAACCATCAAGTAGAGAGGCTTTGTTAAAGTTGTTTGAATGACTATGAATTAATATGTGGACAACTGGAAAATATTTCAATCACATTTTACATGTTATATTTTATCTACAACAACAATGTAAACTTATATAAAGACATGTTTGGAAATTAACTTTTAAAAGCATAATCAGCCAAAACCCTGAGGAGATTTCTCTGCATGAAAGACTTGCGAATGGCAGATTATCTTGGTGCTGCTTCTCTAATAAAGTAGGTAGTTAAATGTGAAGGAAATGTGGATGATGTGTCGAGTTGACTAACAGGGGACGTAACTAAGCAACATAACGGTCTGTTAATGAGGAAGCAGTATGTCCCCATGCGTACTCTTCTTCTACACACTCAAAAGCATGTACTTTTTCTTAACAAGAAAGTATACTTTTAGGACAAATTAAAGTATAAGTGTAAAAAATTTGGATGCAGTCTATGGATCTGTGTTGTAATTGCTGCTTAATCTGAAAGCATTTCTGTTTGAGGGCACCCAATGGCTTTTGGAACAGATTTACTACTGCAAGAAGTACAAGACAATCATAGCTCTGCGTAATCATGTTCATGATTTCATTTCAATGAATCACCCAGCCAGGTTACCATGCATTTCTTTATAATGATAAACTTGCAGGCAAAGGGCAGAGTATCAAACATAATCTGTGTCTTTAAAGGGATCAAACATAGGGAAAACAAGTTCAACACATTCCATAATTTGGATAGGCCTCTTCTTAGGACATTTTATTCTTCTTTTATTGAGTCTCTTTTACCTTTTGTAGTAATATGCTGGTGTAGTAATTTGAGGATGACAAGTAAAAACAGACTTTTAAAAACTGTTCATCTAACTCAAAAGATTTTGGGCACAAATCTTAACAGTATTGGACATGTGTATGGGGTGAGAGTCATGAAGAAGGCTATGTCCATTTTAGCAGATGAAAACCATCCACCTTATTCAAAGTTTTGCCTCCTGCCATCAGGCAGAAGGTATACTTATTCTAGACAGACAAGGTCCAACAGATATTTTCGTTCATTTGTTCCAACTGCTGTTGAGTTACTTACCAAGCTTTAAGTTGTATGCTTTTTTTATTTTATTTTTTACTTGATTATGATTAATTTTATTGTTTACTTTTAGTTCTATGTTGTCGAGTGTGACCTGTTACTGTTAACTGTCGGCTATTGCCGCAAACCTAGTTGCGCTTTGGGTACAATAAAGACATTCCAATTCCATTATTGTATTGTTCTGGGTGAATAAACCAACTTAGCTTAGAGTAATGTGTTGACAATCTTGTGTGATTTATCATGTTTGTGTGTATGGGATATGTCATACTCTTTTAGGCAGGTGTTCCCACGTGCAGTACTGACGGGAGCTGATCTCATCTGCACATGCCTTCAGTTCATTATCATAGAACAACTCGTTAGGAACCTTCAGAATGGATGGATGAGATCTGGAGAAACAGAAAGAAAGATGGAATTGGGAATTAGAGATATGGCTAGATTACTATTTCATTCATTCATTTTCCTTTGGCTTAGTCGATTTAGTCAGCATAGTTATTTATCAGGGGTTTCCACATCGGAGTAAACCGATAACTATTCCAGCATATGTTTTATGCAGAGGATGCCCTTCCTGCAGCAAGCTAGTACTGGGAAACACCCATACACTCTCATGTTCACACACATAAACTCATACAATACAGCCAATTTAGTTGATTTAATTCACTTATACCACATGTCTTTTGACTGTGGGAGTAACTCGAACTAGCAACCATCTTGTTGCGAGGCGTCAGTGCAAACCAATGAGCTGCCCTAGATCACTATTTTGTGGCCCTAAAACATATTTACACACTGAATTGTCATTTAAAATGTCAGACATTTCTACATGTGACTATTCTGGATTTGGCCTTTCCCAATCTATTTTACTTAAATGTTCCAAACTATATATTAAGTCATAAATAAAAAAAAAAACTCACCAATTTCTTCCCATATTAATTTGCGGCCAGGCCATTGAATTTAATTTCAATGCTATTTCTCATACCTGCAATACATATCACTGTTGCCAAGCAAATTAAGCAACTTTTTTGTACTAATCCTGGCTACAATTCAAGTCAACACATCTAAATCAAAAAGACAAATGACTCTGGTATGTCTCATAAATAACCGTTTGCAGTCTGGTCTAGGAATTTTTGTAACTTCTTCTATAGATGAAATCTTTTCCTACATTTATGAGAAAACCTTGGGGCCCCTGTACTTATGTTGAGTTGTACTGTGTCAAGCTGTTCTTACAGCGTCTATTAAATAAGTTCTAGTATCTAATAAAGAGTAACTAGTTTTTAATGATTAAGTACAAAAATCTAATGCATAATAACTATTATCTAATAAACAAGCAATTCATAAGCACTATTCATTCTTTCATTTATTTATTTTCTTTCCAGCTTGGTCTTATTAATCAGTTGTCGCCACAGCAGAATGAATCGCCAACTTATCGCAACAGATGCACTTTCAGCTGCAACCAGTCACTGGGAAACACCCATACACACTCAATCACACACATACACAATCGTTAGCATCCAAAATCTACTACTTGCGTATGTACTACATTTGAATTTGACACGACTGTAAGAAAAGTCTGTTCTATATGATATGAATGCGAGTATGAATGGAACTCGGCTCGGAAGTACAACATCTGCCATTTGTCAGTTGCATCACTTCAGTCCAATTCAGAAATCCTCTCGTGTGGCATCATGGGATAGAATTAGCATCCATTGGATGCGCAGGTCAGAATCTCCCTGGAATTAGGTTCTCCAGGTACTTCTCACATATGTTTTTTTGAATACTATGAGCTTAGAAATACAACTCGGCTCACATACTGTTTTTAGCGAACTACAGTGTATCCAGAAAGTACTTATTTCGCTTCACTCTTTCCACATTTTTATGTTACAGCCTTATTTCCAAATGGATTAAACTTATTTATTTCCTCAAAATTCTACACACAATACCCCATAATGACAATGTGAAAACAGATTTTTTGAAATTGGTGCAAATTTATAAAATTATAAGCAACTCTGTACAGCCATTTCTAGATCTCACTAGAGATGTCAATTAGGATTTAGGTCTGTAGGGATAGTATTAGCCTGGTGATGAGCGGTGCCTGGTTATCTCCAAATGTAACGCCTAGCATTCACTCCAAAGAGTTCAGTTTTAGTCTCATTAGACCAGAGAATTGTTTCTTATGGTCTGAGAGCCCTTCAGATGCCTTTTGGCAAATTTCAGATGAGAAGTAGCTTCAGTTTGGCCACTCTACCATACAGGCCTGATTGGTGGATTGCTGTTAAGATGGTTGTCCTTCTGTAAGGTTCCCCTCTCTTCACAGAAGAACGCTGGAGCTCAGAGAGAGTGACCATCAGGTTATTGATCACCTCCCTGACTAAGGCTCTTCTCCCCCGATCACTCAGCTTAGATCTAGGAAGAGTCCTGGTGGTTCTAAACATCTTCCACGTATGGATGATGGATGCCACTGTGCTCAATAGAACTTTCAGAGCAGCAGAAAATTTTCTGTAACTTTCCCCAGCCATGTGCCTCGGGACAATTCTGTCTCGGAGGTCTACAGAAAATTCCTTTGTCATCATGGTTGGTTTGTGCTTTGACATGCACTGTCAAACCTGGGACTTTATATAGAGAGGTACACCTTTTCAAATCAAGTCAGAATTTACCACAGATGAGCTCCAATTAAGCTGCTGAAACACCTCAAGAATGAACAGTGGAGACAGAAAGTACCTGAGCTCATTTTAGAGCTTCACGGCAAAAGCTGTAAATACTTATGTGCATCTGATTTTTCAGTTTTTTTTTTTTTTTTTTTTACAACAATTTCAAAAAATCTGTTTTCACAATGTCATTATGGGGTATTGTGTGTAGAATTCTAAGGAAATAAATGAATTTAATCCATTTTGGAATAAGGCTGCAACATAAAAAAATGTGGTCAAGTCAAGCGCTATAAATACTTTCTGGATGCACTGTATATAGTATAGAAGTATGCAATTTTGGATGCACCCATCAAGTTCATGGAGTGCATGAGTTGTAGCATTCAAAGCTGACCATCATGTAGTATGAAGTAGAGCTGAAAACCACTGAAGTGAATCGAGACAATTAAAACAATTGTTTATGAAAGATAAGCGTGACGCAGTACAAAAGCAGCAGAGCATTTATTATGACACAGTCGACCATTTCCACTTCCTCTCATGACCACAAAGGGAAGAATCAGCACTGTTATATCATTTTTTAGGAATTATAAACCATTTTAAGTCCAATTTGCTAAAATTGTTTTTGGTGTTGGCCTGTTTTCTGTACAAACCAAATCGGAAATCGAGCGTATGTAATGCAATTATCATAGAGACACAGGACAAGGTTGCTTACATTCATTGCTACTTTCTTTTGAACATTTAACAAAACATTTGGTAAAACATTCATTCATTCATTATCTTTTCCTCTTAGTCACTTTATTAATCAGGGGTTGCCACAGCGGAATGAACCACCAACGTATTCAGCACATGTTTTACGCAGCGGATGCCCTCCCAGCTGCAACTTAACACTGGTAAACAACCATACACATTTCTTCACACACATACACTATGGCCAATTTAGTTTATTCAAATCACCCATAGTGCATGTCTTTGTACTGTGGAGGAAACCGGAGCACCTGGATAAACCACCGCAAACACAGGGAGAACTGGCAAACTCCACACAGATATGCCAACTGACCCAGTCAGGGCTTGAACCAGCGACCTTCTTGCTATGAGGCAATCGTGCTACCCATTGCGCCATCGTGACACTTTGGTGAAACATGAGTCTAGAGGTTTTTGAATATTGTAATAAAAAATCTTACATACTGTGCCTTTAATGAGTCATACAATTAGTCAATTAAGTCTAGTAAATGTGTTCTATAGCTTATTCACTTTACCTGTAGTTCTGCAGCAGTTTAGTGACGTAACGGTTGTCGAACCCTGTATCACCCTTCTGATAAAGTTCATTTTGTGTCATCAGCCTCTCCAGCAATGAAAGACCTACAAACATGTCAAATTATAATGTACAGTTTACGGAGTGTGTACTGTATGTGTTGCTGTATAAGTATGTACTGATCTCACCTAGTCCATATTTAATGGCAAAGGGAGATCTCAGGATTGGCCCCAGTTGTTTGGGGTCTCCAGCCAGAACAAGCTGTCCAGTCTCAGCATTGAGCAGTCCTACAAACAATGATAAGACAGAGAAATGACTTATCTCAAATAAAAAAACTCTAGGTGTTGATGTTACTGTATATTGTTTGGGGTTTCACCTGCCACACTGATGACGATCTCTGGCTCCACAGCATGACCAGCTTCATCCACAAAGATGTGAGAAAAATGGCCTACAGGAAAGCCTCCACTAACCAGCCTATCAACAAGCATGCACTTTATCTATGATGTGTACAGTATGCGAGAGAGAGTGAGCTTTTAGTGTGTTTGAAAGACAAAGCATTTTACCTGCCGGCAGTGACCAGAGTGCAGACCACGATCTTGTAGGGCATTAGATCCTCTTTACATGGAAAAATAATATTTTCTCCTTCCACATTACTGTTGTTCTGAACACAAACAACACATTAAACATAAAATTGTTTGCAACTTTGTTTTCTCAAAATGTGTGGTTCATTTAATAAAGTATTCTAAAACGGTAATAAAACATTTCTGCATTTCACAGCTGATTCCTGTACTGTTGAAATGGGAATAACTCCTATTTATTCCTATTTATTATTATATTCCTATTACTATATTTACTATTATATTTGTTAAAGATTTCTACAAGTTCGATAGTCATTAAATAAGTTACCCACCCTGTATACATTTAAGTATATTTTATATACTTTTTTAATACTGCTTGGAAATTGGCTTACTTTTACATTTATAAAAGCATACTTTTAAAAGCACATTAGGTAAAATAATAGTTAACTTTGAGTACACTAGTTTTCAATACACTGTCATTACACTACAAGTATAGTTTTTTCAATATACAGTATTTTTATTATATTTTTATATTCTTTTTTTGGTCATACTTTACTTAAAGGTGCAATTCTGGCTATTAACAAACCATTAACTACGACTTCAATAAACTAATTTGCGGTTTATTAATTTTTATTAAGGTATTAGTTCATTACTTCATAAGTACAAACAAACCATAGACATCTTAATAATAAGCTTAGAGGGTAATCGGAAGAATTGATACATAAACTACAGTAAAAAATTTTGTTAATAAAACAAGTGTACATTTGTTTTATTTAAGTGAACTTAACTTATACAGTAGATTACTACAGTATTTATATATGATATTATAATTTACTCATGAGTTAAGAAATCCAATCTCAAAAATATAATTTTACTACTTGTGTTTATATTTGACTATATATAAATTTTACTTTAATATGCTTATAAAACATAAGCATAACATAAGCATAAAGATTAAATGATAATTAATTACTATTATTTGTATGTATATATATATATATATATATATATATATATAATATATATATATGTGTGTGTGTGTATATATGGCCATTTGGTGATTTCAGTTATCATATTCAGTTATCAGTGACATGCACTCTAAACACTCTATAAAGTGCCCATGTCTCGAGGTTGTTTAGTAGGATGCGATTTAGTTTCTATGTGTGATTTGATTGGACAAGAATCTAATTCAGGTCCAATTCTTCTCAGCCAATCCCCATAGACAAGAAAAAAGCACATCATGATTTTGCCAAGTACAATGTGATCCTGGATTAATATCTATGTTGATCCTGGAACATCATTTTTGTGTTCGAAAATGTAATTCATAGCTATTCCCTACCTCTAAACCCAACTATAACTGTAAATAATTCCCATGTAGACATTCATAACCCTAACTATAAGCCTAAACTTAACATAAATGGTGTCCAGGGCTTAATTTGTATCAGAGCACGCCGGTTCCGGATTTGGCACCTCTTAAATCTGATCCGGCACTTCATGTTACCAATCCTCCTCCTCACCCGCCCTCCTCCCCCGGCCGCTCTTCACTTTCACTTTGTTCCAAGACACCCCAACACTCTTCACTTTAGTCCACAACACCTTTACATCCTAGGATAGCATGCCGAATCCATTACCACAATCTGTTCTGGGACCTCACAATTCACAAATTAAGCACTAACGGTATGCCTTAATTTTGATTGGCTGATTGGAATGTTGTTTAAGGAACAACATAGATGTTAATCCAGGAACTGGATTACTTGGTAAAATCAAGTTGGTGACAAGAAAAAAAAAAAAAGTAGGGATGCAATTTGAAGGAAAATCACAAGTAAAAGTACCAATACATCATATATATCATATACAAAATATATTTTTTTATTCACCTAGCATTTTAAGAAATAGAAAAATAATACAATTAAATTCAAGCAAAATATTGCAAAAAAAAAAAACACAAACTACAAAATCTTTATAAAATTAGAAATTTTTTTTGTATCTCTTGATTTTTGCTATTTTTTTATTTTTTGTTTAATATTTTCTCCTAACATATACATTTGGGATACTAATCTGGGCCTTTATTGTGAGTTATTTTGTAAGATTATCTCTTTTTTGTTCATGTACCTTTAATAATTCATTAATTCACACAAGCACTAACCTCTAGTACTTTAGGGATCTCTTTTGGATTGCGTGAGCTAGCGTAGATTCTGTATATGTTCCGTGCATCAACATGTTGACTAGTAATCAACTTTTCACCCAGTTGATCAGCAGCACTGTTAGATGGAGCACAAGCAAGAATACGGGCACCACCTGTATTCTTCTCCACCTGAGAGATGAAAAATACAGAGCAAAAAGCAATCACAAAAGATGCTATCTTTTGTAAGTACACATACAATACACATACTGTACACAACGAGATGATCTACTACATGCAGGTGTATCTTTTGAGTGCGTGTTTGGAGTTTGCATTATGATAACCAGTATTACCTGTTTGATGGCCTCCACTATCGTGACTGTTTTACCAGTGCCAGGAGGTCCAAAAACCAAATATGGTGCTGGTTTGGATGTACCGGCCACAATGTTGCACACTGCAGTCTTCTGTTCAGGGTTCTTTTCAAGCTTTTGATCAAAGAGTCTAGAGACACATAAACACACGTATAAAACCTGAAATACTCCATAATGTATGAACAAAATACGATTTTGTAGTATATTTCAGCACAAATAGGTCTTACTGACCTCAGAGCCGATGGAGACACAGGGTTCAGGCGTCTTGAGGCCACAGGGAACAGCACATCTTTGAGGTGGTGCTGGACCACCATATGAACTGCTCTGTGTTGCAGTCTCAATGGAAGACGGTTGATTGTAAACTCCACACTGAATTTCATATTGTCTATGAATCGTTCAAGCAGCCTTTACACAGAGAACATACACATGCATACACTTTAAAAACAAATGCAGGGTTCCACACAACTCATTCATGTTGTCTCAACACAAATCGATTAAGTTAACTTAACAAATTGGATCGAAAATAAAACAATTAAGTTCTCAAAAATCAAAAAAATTGTGTTATATTAGCTCATTTTAAATAAGTTGTTTGAACAAGCTGCAAAAATTATTTTTGAGTGTACATAACATACATATAGTTGTATTGAAATGTTTTGTAAACAAATTAAAGTAATGCAAAATATCCAAATGAACATGGCAAATATTTGTCAATGGCAAGTCAGTATTCAGTCTAGTCAAACGATCCTTCACATATTGTACTGATATGTACTGGTGCACGTGTCTATTTCTTCTAATTTGCAGTGTTGAAGGGATTTATTATTTATGGTAGTTCAGTGACATCTCTTAATTTCAGAGAATTTCACTTAAAGGTGCAGTAGGTGATCTGCCAAAATGCTAACTGCTTAGCATATTACCTTTGGATGGAGGGGAGGGACTGTGATTCAAAGCCACGCCTCCTGAAATCGCAAATGCGCGCAATGCGCCACAATAGCAGACAACCCACTGGTTCATGTCATTTGCCAGTTAGAAATGTAACAGTTAGTTAGTGTTTGGCCGGCGACGTGCAGGAATTACATTTATTACTAAGCCATACTTACATGCTATTTCAGAGCGAATATTCAGAGTAGCGTGGTAAACAGTATAGAAAGGCTGTCCTTGTTCAAAAATGAATTAATGTGAATATAAATGTAACTTCAGCTCAATAAAGCAGGTTAGGCAGGATAGCGCTATTTACTGATGTTTTGTTGTTAAACTAAATAAAAATCCACATCATCGATGCTGTCAAAGGTCCCTGATAAAATTGAAAAAAATCACATCAATCTTTCGCCGGGAGATTTCATTGGCTGAACAACACGTCTGTGCGTATAAGCCATTTATAAAACAACACAATCTAACATAAGCTTAGCCTGACTATAATAGTTTTTAAAACATAACATTACCTGTCTAACAGCAATATTTCAGCTATGGTGTTGTCCTTACTCCAGCATGCAAAAGTTACTCCAATATTGATTCAGGATTTTCAAAAGTTTCAATACAGCATACAGGAAGATGTTGGCCCGAAAATATTTAATTGGATGAACATTTTTTAGTTTTATGCCTTACCCCGAATATAAAAGTACATAAAAACACATTTAGATCACTTACTTTAATCAGTACTAGTGGACTGTGAAGAGACTTTTAACCAGCACAACAAAAATGTTTCTGAAGACAATCACCTACTGCACCTTTGAGTGTAATTTAAAAACATTTTCTGTAAAGCTGATTTGAAACAATCAGTGTTAGGTAAGTTACATCAAAAAAGTAATGAATTACGAATTACATCATTATAACTGAATTAAGATGACATTTTTAATGAATGTGCTTTCAAAAGTAATTGAATTACTCAAGTTATGTAATTATTTGCCACAATGTGACATAAAATGTATATAAATAACAACACATAGGCAATAGAAATTAAACTTGTCTATTATTTGTTATTATTCTAAATGTTTATAGGCTGACCGCTCTTCTCATTTTTTTAGTTAAAATTTAGCTTTCTTTTGTTCTAATGACACCGGTCATAAAATCTTCACACCTCATACCTTTTGGAGAAGCCCAGTTTGACCTGATCCAGTTCTACTCTGTGGACATAGCCCTTGTATTTGGTCACATTTGAGTTCTGAAGCTCCTCGCTCTTTGTAAGAAGTAGGTGATCTCCTCTCAGGACTGAAGGCCTGTTCTCTGAGACACCAGGGAGCTTTAACACAAGATATACACAATTAGATCTCAAAACATTAGCATCTCCAACAATTATGACACTACTTAAAGGGATGTTCGTTTAAAAATATATACAACAATAATAATTTGAATTGTTTATTCAAACTCCTATTGTTTAAAACCTGTATTAGTTTCTTCCTTTTGTTGAACACCAGTGGAGAAATGTCGGTAACCAAACACTGTACCTGTATGTTACCCATTTTTTAACTTTTTAACCCACTTTTATAGTACTTAATTTATACAGCTGGAGTCAATGTTTACCATCAACTGTCTCAGTACCATCATTCTTCTCATACAGTTGAAGTCAGAATTATTAGCCCCCTCCCCCCTTGAATTTTATTTTTCTTTTTAAAATATTTCCCAAATTGTTTAACAGGGCAAGGAATGTTTACAGCATGTCTGATAATATTTTTTTTCTCTGGAGAAAGTCTTATTTGTTTCATTTTGGCTAGAAAAAAAAAAACGTTTTTTTTTTTTGTTTTTTGTTTTTTTTAAACACAAGTACAAAATTATTAGCCCCTTTAAGATATTTTTTTTCAATAGTCTACAGAACAAACTATCATTATAAAATAACTTGCCTAATTGCCCTAACCTGTCTAGTTAACCTAATTATCATAGTTAAACCCTTAAATGTCACTTTAAGCTGTATAAAAGTGTCTTGAAAAATATCTACTCAAATATTATTTACTGATATGGTGGCAAAGATAAAATAAGTCAGTTATTAGAAATAAGTTTTTAAAACAATTATGTTTAGAAATGTGTTCAAGAAATCTTCTCTTTGTTTAACAGAAATTTGAAAAAAAAAAAAAAACAGGGGGTCTAATAATTCAGGGGGGCTAATAATTCTGACATCAACTGTAGATTCATTTGTGAACAAAAAATGTTCTGTTTTATTGTAAATGTAATTTGGCTGTTATTAAGCAAATTCAGTTCCCTACAAAATGACCCAAAATATAATATTTATTTCCAAATAGAGTTACTAGATCTATTGCAGAAAAACTAAATATTGCATTGTAATTCATTTTAGTTTGTGCACTAGTTGGACACCATTATCAGGGGATTTTTGGCTTATTAGGCATGCTGAATCTGTCTATTAGTGAATAAGATAACTCTGTCCAGGCTGTTTGTTTTAGCAAAAGTGTCAACACAGGAGAAGAAAAATTGACTGTTTTCATATTGGGTCTTTAAACTGCAAGATTGAACAAACCACACCATTTAAGTATCCACTGCTCATGTACACTCTTGTTTACAGAAGTTAGCCATTAGTTTCACTTTCTCCATGACATCATGCATGTGATTAAAGACAGAAGCAAAGATTTGTTAGGAGGTAATGTTTAATCAGACATGTTTGTTGTCTGTGCCTTGTGACTTTTCTTGTGGCTTCTCAGTAAGCATTGGGAAACACTCTCTCATTGTGGTGTGACCCAAGGGTCCATTTTAGGTCAAGTTCTTTTTTTCAATCTATATGCTTCTCATGGATGCCCTTTTAACTCTTTCCAACAGGACAGGGTTCAGACAAATGTAAGAAATCATTGTTACATTTAATTGAAATAGTTTGCCTCTGAGATTTGTACATTTGCTGGCCAGTTTTAATACTGCTTTCAAATCTTTTCAAGTCTTCTCTGGCTTTTGATTAAGGTCAATTATAATTTTATAATGTTTTTTTTTCATTGTTTTCTTTTTTTTCATATGATGCATGTGTTTTTTTCTTGTGTTTTTCTTGTAAAGCACTCTGGCACAACTCGGTTGCTTTTAAATTTACTATAGGAATGCATTTGGACTTTTATGCTCTTTTCTTGTGACATGAACAGAAAATGACACATGGCTATGACAAAAAAATTGTGCAGTCTGAACCAACACACTAACCCACACTTTAATAACAAACAGTAAGAGACTGCCCCTCACCTCTAAGACCAGCAGTTTTTTATCTCGATCCCTCACCATAGACACATCCTTTTTGTTATATCTCTTGATGTCCATACGCATCTGATCCTCCTCCAGGTACAGAAGCAAATCAAAGCGGTCCATATAGTTATTAAAACTCAAATCACTCTCCAGAGTTAACCTACAAATCAACAAATGCACAAATAAAACAGTAGCAATGGCTTTTTAATCTATATGTTCATACAGAGAACTTCTTACTGGATAGGTATGGAACGATAACCAGTTTCAAGGTTTACCACGGTTTGGAAAAGTGAATGTTTTATAACCGCTAATACTTTCTGTTATAGCATGCCTAAGGTATATGTAAGTTTTGTAATGTGTTTTTTAATGTGTTGTAAAGAAATCTGTGTTTCTGAAACTGAAAAAAAAACATAGCAGAAGTCAATGATTTATTTGAATTATTTAGCCTGACATGCTTACAGTACCAATATATTTAATTGTTTCCTAAAATAAAATACATTGTGGTCAATTGTGAAAAATAATGTTGTTTTTTCTTAAAAAGAACTTATTTTAGAGCAGTAATCTCAATACCGTGAAACTGTGAAACCGTGATATTTTTATCAAAGTTTATTATACCATCAGAAACTTATACCGGTCTATGCCTAGTATTACTGAGTAGCCAGCAGTATGATCTAATTTAAACAAAAAATATCGACCACTCACTGATGTTCCTGAAGCTGTTTTCCAGAAGAACGGTTGCCTTTCAGGACTTCAATTAAGGCAGAGGTGTAAGAAGGACAATTGTAGTTGTCCAGTGGCACCACAAATTTCAGGAAGTTTTGAGAAGAGCTGCAGATGAGAGGGAAAAACAAGGCAAAAGACTGATTTCAGCATAAGTTTACACACAATTCACTATAGTAGCCTTAGTAGCTTATAGCCACTATAGGACAGCTTAAATAGCACTAGATTTAACTTTTTTCTTTCTTTCTTTGCACCATTCATTAAAGTAGCATCATGCATTCTATGCACATCCATGTGAACTTAATCCATTTGAGTAAAAGAAGCAATTTCAGCAAAGTAAACCTCAATAAATGATGAGAACTCAAACCAACTGAGTACTGTAAAACCCAATAAGTTAAGGCAACTCAAATCGTTTGAGGAAACCGATTGCTACAAACCATTTGAGTTAAAAAACGAATCTATACGAGTAATGTGAACTTGCTCCATTTAAGTTGAAGTAATGAGTTCTTTAATTAACTCGTTACCTTCAACACTGAGTTCAAAACTCTTTTCAAACGAATAGAATGAACTTTCAGTCAATTTTGAGTTAACTACACTCACTTCATTTGATAAAGTTGATTGTTGGGTTTACAGTGTATCATTCTTACCACATCCCAAAGGAGCTCTTCTGGACTGTGGTCATAAAACATGAACAGAGTCAGCGATTATAAATTGTGGCATCTAAAGAATGCTTAATTGTTACCGAGGTCCAAAGTGTGCTAAGAAAATTTTATCAACACCTTTACACTAACAACAGTCAGAACCATTGAAATAGCAAGTAAGATGGTTCCATGCTGTCATGTTGTTTGCACTAAAATTCTTGACCTACCATGCACATTTCCCTAAAAAAACGAGACCATGCAACCTTTTTCCAATATTCTACAGTGCATTTTTTTTTGAGCCTGTGAGCATTGTTGCCTCAGTTTCAAGTGTTTAGTTGTTAAAGCCCTCCTGCTTCTGCCTGTTTTGTGCATTCAGAGATGGCTTTCTGCAGTCTACGGTTGTACTTGTAAGGAGGGCTATTTGAGTTACTGTTACCTTTGTATCAACTTAACCAGTCTGGCCATTCTCCATTGACATCAACAAGAACTTGCCACTCACTGGATATTATTTCTTTAAACCCTAGAGATGCCTCTGGGTGAAAATAGTAGATCAGCAGTGTCAAAAAATTCTAAGACTAGCCTGTTTGACAACCCTACCACATTGAAAGTCAAATTTCTTCCCCATTATGATGGTCCGTTTAAACTTCAGCAGATCATATTGATCACGTTTCAATGCCTAAATACAATGATTGACAATGACAAGTAATCAGGGCCCGGATTTTCAAAAGGTTTAATGCGGATAAAATTGATCCAGATTTAGTAATCCTGTTTTTGCGATCCATGATCACGTAATCCAGCTTACTTTTTGAGTCAGTTTTTCAAAGCAACATTGGATTGGATCAATCTGATCCGGATAGGAACTTTTCAGGATCACTAAATCTGGATTACCAGTGCTCAATCACAATGTAGATGGATAGATAGGCCTATGTAAAGAGCAACAAGTAGAATAGCCAGTGTGGGGTAAATATAACTTTATTTTTATTTGAAATGAAAACTAAGAAAATTTTATAAATAATAAAAGCAAGAAAAACCCCACCCCATCCACTTCCAGCAGTCCGCTCATCTGAGATCTACAACACTGTACATTGAGGATATTTCTGCCCAGTCTCTTTCTGCAATTCTTGAAAGTGATTTAAAAAATCAGGCATTGCCATTCTTTGAATTTTTTGTTATTCTGTAATCATTGCATGCATCACTAATAAATATTCTAAACACAAAAATACTTTCCATTGTGATGAATATATATATCAATTTGTAACAGAATAAAATGAATTGTTTTGGTAAATTTTGACAGCTGTTTGCTGTTTGGGGGATTATTTTATGAGGCCAAACTCTTTCTATTATGCTGTAGGCCTATACTGAAAGGCTAAATACGTTAAAGCCAATAATCACTATACATAGCCTGACAGATGAACAAATAAAATTAAAACCTTATGAATAAATAGTATATCTCGTAAGATACTACATGATCCAAATATAGTTTTATTTAATAATTTTTTAAAGTTTTCATTACATTTTGGGCATGAAATCCACGCTAAACCCACCCTTCTGATGGGATCAGTTTAATCCAGGTTTTTTGGATCAAAGTGATCCAAATCCTACAAAAAAGGTCTGAAAAACCCAAACTAATATGTAGGGGATCAACCTACGTTTAATATCGATCAGGGATTAATTAGCTCATTTCAATGAATCGGATCCTGAAGATTCGAATCATTGATTCGACTCAAATGAGTCAGATTGAATCAGATCAAAAGATTCACACGTTATCTACCATTTGTCCCGCAAATAGAAGACATCGTATCTTACCAATCTTGTTTATATTATTTACGTGGCCAACGATCATAACATAACACAGTATTGGGTTAACTTTTAGCAAGGTAACAAGATCTACAGCTCGAGGCAATGACTTAGTAGCACATAAACAAGAACACAGTTCTTACAAAATGAGTACAAAGATTTATTGAGCTACACTACGATACATGAAACTAACTACGTAATAAGCAAACAACAAACAAACACACACACACACATTCACACATACACACAGAGGCAGTTCAGAGGATGCACGCGCTCGTGAATGGCTGTTGTCCTGGGTTACCTAGGTGACGGACTGCTGAGAGTCAGTTTCAAGTGGTGCTCGCTGCAGAGCCATTTGGGCGAGCTGAGCTCCAGCGAGGGGGAGCTTGAGCTTGAGCTCCACCTTTTTTGCACTTCTTCTACGAGTGATGTCACTGGGGGTAGGATTAGGGGTGGGGTTGGTGTACGCATTAAAACAGCTTACAGGAGGCAGAGCGAGAGCTCATGCTCCCCCTCGCTGGAGCTCAGCTCTGCTCAAATGGCTCTGCAGCGAGCACCCTCTCGTCGGTTTTGCGGAAGTTCGTGCAGTTTCGTGAGTCCCGAAACTTAAGAGGTTTGCGTGGAAGTTCGTGGTGACCCAATCGCGTGGTGGCGCGGTGTCCGGGCAGGCGAAAGGGGGCAGAGAGCAAAAGCATGCGCAAGCTAGCTGATGCAAAAAGCAAAGTTTCTTTGTCGCAGGGCTTTTTTAAGTGACCTGGTCTGGTTCGTCCCCATGGCACTGTCTGCCAATGAGCAGTTGGCATAAAGGGCGGGGCCACGCCCCGTACTGACGTAGGAAAGGTCAAAAATTAACAGACTACATGTAGATTTCACGTGGTAGAACTCTTGCAAGATTGAAACTATCTTACATCAAACGTTACAAGATGAATACTGTTTGTACTACTAGTTTTTCATTTACACCAACGCATTGCAAATGTCACTAGCTTTCGTCCAATACCAGACATCATACATTTCAGACACATACAGATTATTTTACTCTGTTATAAGTGTTAAAACAACACATTGATTAACCTAGTTGATTGGAATAAACAGCATATGAGGAACATTATGGCATATTATTCAAAGATACATCTGCCTTAGTTCTAACATTAAGAGATTAGCTTTTATTCATATGCATTAATGTTTCTAGAGATCTCTTTGTCTCTACGAAATTGTGCATCTAGCAGGATGTGCCCAAGGCGAGCACATGACCAGGAGTCATTTAAAAGTCTCGTAAAATGGTTTCCGCTGAAGATCCTATAAGGGCCATTGTTTTTAATTTAACTGATTTAATTAATCATTGGCTAGTTAGCCGAAGGGTACTAGAACATCTGCGGAGAAGTACTGGTCAGAGGAGCCCGAAATCAATTGGTGCTCTGTTATCCTGATGGTATAAGCCCTCAAGCTAGTTCAATGAATGAGACCATTGGAGATGCCCAAGATTTCAGATTCAACTTGTGTTGACCACTGTAATATGCCGATGAGTTCCTACAAAAGGTTTGATCTGGATCAAAACCAAGATTGGATTACGTGATCTAATCCGATTATGTAATCCGTTTTTTTCTTTTGAAAAACCCATTTTCAAGATTTGATCCAATCCCTTATCCAAAATCCTAGTGGATTACTTTTGAAAAACCGGGCCCTGATGAACAGCTATAGCAAATGAAGCAGAAAAGAAGTGTATAAATGAACTGAAAACTCAAGCAGAGATTTCTCTCACCTTTCAGGTTTAAAGCCCTCATCTATGCTCCACTTCATTGGTTGATTGGTGTCAAGCCTCTTAGGTCTGAATGGTTCTGTAGGACCCAGCTGTGCCGTGAGCTCGGACCTGTGCTGTGCCTCAATAAAGCGCACAATGTGGAAAGGACGGGTGTCTTGGTTTTCCTTGAACTCAAACGCCAGAGTGGCTGGATAAACTCCTATCTGATCTGATTTGAATCTCAAGATCACTTCATATGTCTCATCTTTAAAACATCAAGAGAGAAGACAACAAGTTTGTTTCACATAAGTACTGAAGCCCAATATGTTCAAGGGCAAAAGCATGCTAACATATGAATGCCCCAAACAACACCAGCACCAGTTTCTCCTGTATTAAACAGTTTAAATGGACTCACTTG